TCTAATGAGGCAGAGGTGGGGGGCAGGAAGAACAAGCCATCTTTTTATGATAGTATAAGACAAAGTGATACCAAAGGATGACTAGGAATTGTGTGTGTCATTAACAGGAGAGGGAAAATGTGTGTGTGTGTGTGTGTGTGTGTGTGTGCGCCTGTGAGAGAGAGAAGAAGAGAGAGAGAGAGAGAGAATGTGTAAGCAGCATAAAGCTAGGGATGACAGTGAGACGAATCTGGGACACATTGTTTAAGATGTTTCACAGCCATCTCTTGGGAAGAAAAATACAAGAAAGTAAGGACTAGGGATGCATAAAGGAAAATACTCTTTAAAAGTAATTACAAGATTCTCTAAAATGTGTTCATGAGGGCTAGAATGCTGATGCACTCATTGGGCAAGTCAGTAACTTTTTAATTCTTTTTTTAAATGTTTATTTATATTTGAGAGAGAGATAGCATGTGTGTGTGAGCAGGGGAGGGGCAGAGAGGGAGAGGGGACAGAGGATCCCAGGGGGGCTCTGCGCTGACAACAGAGAACCAGATGCAGGGCTTGAATCACGAGGGGCTCAAACTCACAAACCGGGAGATCATGACTTGAGACAAAGTCAGAGGCTTAACTGATTGAGCCACCCAGGTGCCCCAGGGCAAGTCAGTATTGAATTTTTCCTTCTTCGAGGTGAACTCAGATGACATCATGTTTTTCATGAAGGACATTATCTGCGTGCCATTACCCTTTCCCATACCTCCATGGCTCTGTCCTTGAATCTCTAGTCTCATCAGAACTGCTATGCACCCCCTCCCCCTTTATTTATTCATGCACATTTTTTCCCTGTCAATTCCAGGCTAGCACTACAGTTTTTCGAGCTCCTCTAAACACCTGGGCTGATGCTGTTTTGACATACAAATAATTGTGTTGGTGTGAATAGGCAGATAAGAAAGATCATCCTTCCCTTTGTTTTTTTTTTTTTTTTCCAGCAAATCACAAATATCATAGTGTGCTCATGTGCAGAATATTATTGGTCTTACCCATGTGTAGCTACTGGATTGTTGGTCTTTTGATTCAATTTTAAGTTAATTATTCAAGAATCTTTGATGGACCTTAAAAATCACCTGAAGGCTGAGATTGTATTGGACTGTGTGGATAAACCAGAAAACCAGACCAACATAGTTCTCGACCTTATCTTACAAAGCTTACAGCCTAGGAGAGAGGGGAGACATTTAAAAATGACTTTTCAAAAAAGTGACAAGTTTTACGATGGAAGTTTGGGAGACCAGGGAAACAGTTTTGAGATCAGGCTGTCTAAGTAATCTTGTCAATTACAGAATATAGAATTAATTGTACTTAAGCATTTAGGGATACATGATAATATACATTTTACTAATTTGACAGAATATTAAGCTATGATATAGACATGACTTCATAGAATAGCTAAGTTAGTGTAAATTCACAGGTTATTTGAAATATATACAATATGAGTAACTAAACTGAAAATGTATAATCTTGATAGCTGCCACTGGGGAATTTTTAATAGCCAACTGATTTGTATTTAGTATAGCAACAAAATTAAACCTCGGTTTGGGGGAGGGGGGCAGTGTTTCAATACTTTCTTCCTGTGGGTTGCACTGTTTTTTTTAAATTTTTTTTTTTCAACGTTTATTTATTTTTGGGACAGAGAGAGACAGAGCATGAACGGGGGAGGAGCAGAGAGAGAGGGAGACACAGAATCGGAAACAGGCTCCAGGCTCTGAGCCATCAGCCCAGAGCCCGATGCGGGGCTCGAACTCACGGACCGCGAGATCGTGACCTGGCTGAAGTCGGACGCTTAACCGACTGCGCCACCCAGGCGCCCCTGGGTTGCACTGTTAATAATTTATCTTTAAATATCAAGTAAGGGGCGGTGTCTGAACTAAGATATATGTTAAAAATATAGTGCGTATGTCACCCTTCATTTAAAACTGCATGTATCACAGTGATTCTGTGATTCACAATTAGATACAATAATTCACGTTGTAATAATAAATCTAATGGAAGGTTGTAATACATAATGTTCAATAGCATGCTTTTGGTGACTTTTATGTTTCAAAACTAAATAAGAAAAAGGAGAATAAACAAGAAATAATGAAATGAGAGAAGGGACAAGAAATTCTAGCTTTTTCCAGAAACAAAACATAACTTTATTTACCACAAAAGGAGGACTTCTTAATTAGGCTTTGCAAAATATTTTTACTCTGTAAAATGACACATCAAGACGCTATTAGGCTCCATAATGAAGCAAAGGTTGAAACTCATACTTTTTAAATGACATACTAACATTTTTAAATATTACTATTCTTTCATACGCAGAACAAAATCCCATGTTTTCTAGACCCCTCTGTCTATTTAGATGCAAGTCTCTTCGATATCACTAAGAAATCTAGTGCCTGATTTTATCTGAGGGCAAATAAATGATTAGATAATCTCTTTAAAAGAATACAACCCTTATGCCTTGAAAGAGCCAGTGAAAACATGTCACTCACCAATTTTTTTTCTATGCAAACTTCTTTTAAAACCTACCTTTAAAATAGTAAAATAAAGGATCAGAAAATAGTCACTTATGTTACCAAATCTCCAGCAGCCCAACATGAGAAACTTCAGAATCTGAAGTGAAGAATTGAGATGATTAATCGAAATTAAAGCCACCAAAGCCTCTGCCCTTACCTCAAACTCAGATACAAGCACTATTTCTAGATTTTTTTCTCTGGTCTGTATTTTCTAGGGTTCAAACGACCTCATACCTCAGTGTAATTTCAAAGTATTGCTTTGTTTAAAAAAATTTTTTTTAATGTTTTTATTTATTTTTGCGACAGAGAGAGACAGAACATGAGCAGGGGAGGGCCAGAGAGAGAGGGAGACACAGAATCGGAAGCAGGCTCCAGGCTCTGAGCTGTCAGCACAGAGCCCGATGCGGGGCTCAAACCCGCAGACTGTGAGATCATGACCTGAGCCGAAGTCGGACGCTCAACCAACAAGCCACCCAGGCGCCCCATTATTGCTTTGTTTTAATAAGTGTGTGTACACACGCATGCACACGCGTGTGTGTCCGTGTGTATAAATGTTTTGAACGGCCCAAAATGCCTTGTAGGGTGGGGCAGGTGAGGTAGGTGAAGGAGGTAAGGTTTTAACATTGGCCTCACTTAGGCCTATTGAAATGCTGTAAGTCTGTAAAAGAACTTCTGAAATTTGCTGCATATTTAAACGCTCCTTTCTTTTCCTCTCTATAGATTTTCATAAACAACGAGTGGCATAATTCAGTGAGTGGCAAGAAATTTCCTGTCTTTAATCCTGCAACCGAAGAGAAACTCTGTGAAGTAGAAGAAGGAGATAAGGTGGGTTTCGCAGCACATAGGCCGGGTTTCTTTGTTGGTCAACATCCTGAGCTCCCAAACAGGCCACAACTTGTAACATGTCATGAAAATACCATTTCTGGGGCCCTGTGGGAAAATTTTCTTGGTACATAAAGGGCACCCAGTAGCCTTGTGATAATGATGAGCCTAGGTTTCTGGGTGTTGTGCTGGGTTTTTTTTACACTATTTCTCCTTGCTTGCTCTTCAATTTAAATAATATTGGGGCTTATTGTACAAACAGACTATATGTAAAGTGATTGGTCATAGACGGATAGAGTAGAGAAATCCCTTATTCTTATAAAATGGTTTTTTTTTGTTTTTTGTTTTTTTTTTTGGACCGCCTGGGTGCCTCAGTCGGTTAAGCGTCCGACTCTTGATTTTGGCTGAAGTCACGACCTCATGGTTTGTGGGTTTAAGCCCTGCATCGGGCTCTGTGCTGACAACGCGAAGCCTGTTTGGGATTCTGTCTTCTTCTCTCTCTGCCCCTCCCTCACTTGCTCTCTATCTCTCTCTCAAAATAAATACAAATAAACTTCAAAAAAAAAAGATTTAAAATTGTTCTTTTTTAAGTTGCAAAATGAAACTAAGCAAACAATGTAGGACGTTTGAAATGGTATATTGCCAAGTTAGTTGATTAAAAATCATGAAAGAGGGGCGCCTGGGTGGCGTCGTCGGTTAGGCGTCCGACTTCAGCCAGGTCACGATCTCGCAGTCTGTGAGTTCCAGCCCCGGGTCGGGCTCTGGGCTGATGGCTCAGAGCCTGGAGCCTGTTTCTGATTCTGTGTCTCCCTCTCTCTCTGCCCCTCCCCCGTTCATGCTCTGTCTCTCTCTGTCCCAAAAATAAATAAACGTTGAAAAAAAAAATTTAAAAAAAAAATCATTGAAAGAACATTGATTAGTACCTTTAAAAATTGAACTTTTAAATCCTGAAACTGAACCATTAAAGGTATTGTTGCTTTCTAGCTAATCACGCTAACAACAACAAAATCCAACTTTTATCATTTTTTTAAAAATTCTAAATATTAATTTAAGCCTCAAGCATCCCAGTGGGAAACCTATCATTTGCGACCACTTTCACAAATGATAATGAAATAGCAGAACGGACAAGTTGGCTAATTTACTTTAGGTGATGTTGCTAATAAATAACAAAATCAGTATTCAAATGCTGTCCTTCTGACCCCAGAGCCTGAGACTGGCAGGGCAACCTTACTTTGTGATTATTATAAAAGTAAGATAGGGTAATATTAAATAGCCTGGGGCATGAGGAGAGTAAAAGCCTTCAAAATTTTTATATGAATATATACCTTAAAATGTATATGTGTTTCTCAGTCTTTTTTTAAATTTTAATTTAATAATTTAATTTAATTTAATTTTATAGAAAGAGAGAAAGAGTGTGAGCGGCGAAGAGGCAGAGAAAGGGAGAGAGAATCCCAAAAAGGCTTTGCACTCAGCATGCAGACTGTTACGGGGCTCTATCCCAAGACCCTGGTATCATGACCTGAGCTGAAATGAAGAGTCAGATGCTCAACTGACTGAGCCACCCAGGCGCCCCTGTTTCTCAGTCGTTAGTAGTCCAAATGTTATCAAGCTTTAAATCTCTGTCTCGTAAGGTATCAAAAGGTAAATTATTTCGCTACGTAAAAAGACCACTGAAAGATGAAGTCAGGATAACAATCCAAAGTGCATACCATTTGTGGCACAATGTTCGGTTCGCTGGGTCAGTGCCATGTTCCTACCCAGCTCCCACTCTTTCATTACCTTCTACCCACTTGGTGACATCACCGAGGTGAGATTAAGCCTTGCAGATCTATTTTAAGATAGCCATAGACCTGAGAGGCTCGTTTGGGTTTAGAGAAGCGCCTGGATTCAGGTGGCAGTATTATCAGAAGACATAAGATCCGTGCCTCAAGGGGCAAGAATGCAGAGTTTAGCCAGAAGGGTCGACAGCTTGAGAAGTAGAAGCCTAATAGAAGGGAGACAAATGTCACCTGCTTTCAGATTTCACTTTGTGTATACACCAGAGTTTATCCGTACATAAATTCTTCACAGGCTTCTTACCAGCTCTGGGGAAACAAACGAACAAACAAACCACAACTCTCTTGGTTTTGGCTTTTTCTCAGGCCTCCCCCAAAACGTAGGAGTCCCACCTTCACCACACCCAGAATCAGCCTCCGTGACTGCCAAGGTCACGGTGCAGCCCTTGGAACCCAGTTCAGATCATTATCTGCAGCGAGACCACAGCTGTTCCATAGTTTATTTACCCTCTTTGAGTTTCTGTTGCTTTTTGGGTAAAATGGGGAGATAGGGAAAACTTGGGGGAGGTTAAATAAGAAAAGATGTAAAATGTTTTAACAGTGCCAGGCACGTAAAAAAGCCTCAGTCTTTTTAAAAAAATTTTTTTAATGTCTTTTTTTTTTTGTTTGAGACAGAGAGAGACAGAGTGCGATGGGGGCGGGGCAGAGAAAGAGGGAGACACAGAATCGGAAGCAGGCTCCAGGCTCTGAGCTATTAGAACAGAGCCCGACATGGGGCTCGAACCCATGAACTCTGAGATCATGACCTGAGCGGACATCGGATGCTTAACTGACTGAGCCACCCAGGCACCCCCAAAAACCTCAGTCTTTATAGGGTTTTACACTTCTTTAAAACACCCCAAACTTCCCAGGTAGCATTGCCCTCTTCCTGTGTCATTAGAGGACATCATATGCACCTATATTATCACCCTTGTGTTGTATAGGTTTGGGTTCATTTGTCTGAGACGGCATGCTTCTTGTAGAGACCAACACTGCATCTCACCTTTATATTTTCAGGGTCTAACACTCTACAGGTAACGGATGAATGAGCTAATCTCCTCTGTCAAGCTCTGAGCTTCCATATACTCCACACACCTCATCTTAAAAATCTAATACTAAATTAACTGTTGACTAAGGCAGTGGCTCTCACAATTTTGCATGCAACAGAATTCCCTGGAAGGCTTGTTGAAACACAGATGGCCGGGCCCCACCCACCCCTAGAGTTTGTTTCCATAATTCTAGGGTGGGGCCTGAGAATTTGCATTTCTGACAGATTCTCAGGTGACTCTGATGTTGCCAGTTTGTTGGGTTGGAGGTGGAGGAATATACTTGGAGAACCACTGAACTAGGTATTAATAAGTTGTATCCCCTCTGTTAGCATTTAATGGAGGGCATGGACTTAATAAGTAAAATGTTAGAGTTGGAACCTGCTCTGTGATCATCACTCTGCACCTCTATGAAATGTGACAAGACCAAACTTGAGCAGAGACATACTGATGGTCCCTGGTCACATGCTCCAGGAGACCCGGAAGTCTGTGTCCTTTGGGCTATTCCTAGAAATAAGAGGAAAATGTGTTCTTCACATTCAACAAAGAGGAATGACGTTTTATCAGAGACTTCCAGAGATCTACGCAGCACTGCATTAAAGCACCATATTACATCAAGTGTCCTTCTGGTTGCTTGAGTAGCTCTGGAGACCCTGGGGTGGTGGGGAAAACAATAAAGGGCAAGGTAAGGTACATTTGAGCCCCCTGACAGCTGCCTCCTCTTTCTCTCCAGAGGTATAAATGCTACTCAGGAGTAAGACCGCAGAACTGGTTGCAGTTTGCAATTAACAACAGAACAAGTATTCCGGATGCTTTGGCTCTGGTGCCTTGGACATCTCTCTTTGCCACGGGCTTCCAACTTTAGTTTCATCAGTGAAACAAATCTGTGCCAGGAGTTCCAGCTGAATCTCCTCAGGCAGTCTGAGGACTTTTCTTGGCATCGTGGTGGCATTTACCTTCTTCCTAAACCGTAGTGAGGGAGAGCTGATGATCAAACCTGAAGCTTTAGAAACGTTGGTCATTTGTTTGCTGTGTGCTTTTTGGCAGTTTTACTCCTGCTCATAGCAGAGCAGCATTGTCTGTGCAAATGTAGATCAGGGACACTCATTAACATCCAGCAAAGCTTCAAATCAGGTCACAATGCTAATCGAGTTGCTGGATACTTGATCATTTGAGTTCAGTTGTTTATGATATAAACTGTTTGGCGTAAGCAACAGCTTGCTTAATATTTAGCACTCTTGTCATCGTGTTCTCTTTCAGGGGTAATCTACTAACGTTTCTTTCTAAGTAATTATTGCTGGTCTCACAGTTTTGCCGACAAATGTGTACTAACTTCTAACGTTGCTTAGTGAAAGGTACAAATCTAGTAAATTACACAGTCACCGTAAACCTAATATTCTGGAACTGACTCTTTAGATAATGAGCCAAGAGGTTTGGGGGATTTAATTTATGAGCAGAATGGAGCTAACAATGGGCTATATACCGCCTTTCAATGGTGTTATAAAGAAAGGAGGAGGGGCAAGAACAAATGGAACTTACAAAGCAAAGCACTGATGTGGGTGGGAACTGTTTTCTTTTCACTTCACTGGCTCTTTTAGGCTATATTGACTAATCCTGAAAACTGCTTTTAATACTAAGCATGACCTAACAAATAATTGGTGGGGATAAAAGTAAATGTCCATTAAAGTAAGTGCTTATGACAAGTGTAAAAGTAAAACTGGTCTGAGAACTATTTTCTCCAAATTGGAATGGATTTACTATGGAAATGCACATCCTGGGAGTGATAGAAAAGTTTGTCTTTCCTTAACCATGTTTAAGAGGACTTTCATATTTTATCTTCATTCAATCCGCTTTCATCCATTCAGCTTTAGTCCCTTACTTCAAAAAAAGGAACATTTTAAACACTCTAAGGCAAAAGCGTTGTTGATGGTGGCAAATCTGAACGTACCAAACTGTTTACTGGTTGATTAAAAAGCTAATGTCCTTGCAGATGCTATAGTCCCGGAATAAAGAGCCAAGAGATACTAGTCGTAAAACTTTTATTATGTTTGTAACAACAAGCTTCATGCCTAATACGGTTGGTTAATGTAAAGGCTCTGTTACATAATGGAATTGATTAAAGTACGATTTACGATGTGAATGTCAATATCAGCAAATTATTTATATCAGGAGCACTCTTCTATAAAATCAATGTAATATGATGAGTTTAAAAGATAGGTCATTAAATTATTAAATATTTATTAACTGCCTATTGTAGGCCCAGAATAGTAAGGAATAGCACAGCTTTTAATACAGATAGCAATAAATATTCATTGCAAAGATCACTATCAGGATATTCTTGCAAAGCTATGAAATTGGATTTTGGAGCCAGATGTGAGATCTAACTTTGGTTGCTAGGTTTCCTGCTGGATTTCATGTCCTGTAAAACAAGGTGCGTGGTACTTAACCGTGGTAGAAACTGCGGGGTTATGGAGGGTGTCACTTAGTGCGTAGAGCTTGGTAAACTCTTAACTAGTAGCTACTATCAAGCTGGATTAGCCTGGCAAGAGTTTAGGTAGATTCTGATCTTTGACCTGGGTCTTTTTTTTTTTTTTTTTAATGTTTATTTTTGAGAAAGAGAGAAACCGAGTGTGAGTGGGGGAAGGGCAGAGAGAGAGAGGAAGACCCAGAATTGGAAGCAGGCTCCAGGCTCTGAGCTGTCAGCACAGAGCCCGATGTGAGCCTCAAACTCATGAACTGTGAGATCATGACCTGAGCCGAAGTTGGGTCAGACGCTCAACCGACTGAGACACCCAGCTGCCCCTGAGCTGGGTCTTAAAGAACATGTAGAATTTTCAAAGTAAAGGAGTGTGCTGGTAGAACATTCTAGGGAAGGAGAATGGCAGGAGCAAAGATGAGAAGCAGTTGGGCTAGACAGAGGAGAAAAAAATGTAAACACAAGTTTGGGTAGGTGAGGTGGTGCCCCATAACGTTGGGTCTTGAAAATCAGGAAGAGGAGTCTGGCCTTAGGACCGTAGGGCAAGGGGAGACATTGCAAATATCTGAAAGGGAAAGGGATCACGTAAAATTGTTTGAGGAAGATTAGCCTGATAGCAGTAGAAAAGACAGTTTGGTGAGAGAAGATAATGGACATGGGAAGATTAGCAGCAGTATGAGATAATAAAGCCCTAAAATGATACAGGGTAGTGAAAACTGAAAGGAAAAAATTAAAATATACTAGAACTGAGAGTTGTTTTAAGGTTGTTTTGCCGCAAATATGACAGCACTTGCTACCACTTAGTGAACACTCAATGTAATGTCTGTCACATAGAAAATGTGTTTCCAGTGTTACCTTATTTAATTTTCAAAAGGACAGTCTCCCATCTTCGCTATTTTATCGTTAGCAACCTGATGCCGAGACTTACAGAATAGTGTTTGACATATTTTTGGATGGGTGGAAGGATGGATGGATGGAAGGAAGGATGGATATCCCAAAACTCACAGAGATAATAGATGAGGAAACAGAATTCAAACTTGAGTTGTTTTCTTCCAAAGCTATGTATTAACCACCATTACTCTATTTCTATGCCTGCGAGATAAAATAGAAGATAGGAGAAAAGGAGGATTATAACCCAAAGGACACAACCACAAAAAGGTCTTTATTTCAGGAATGTATTTTCCGTATGACAGAGTTAATTGTCTTGAAGTCATTTTTTCCCATATCCCTTCGGGAGGCCAGGACGCCTCTGATAAACCATATTTGGTTAAGGCCAATAGCAGAACACTGACAGAAGAATCCAAGAGAAAGCTGGGGCACACAGGTCTGTTTAAACACAGAGCAGCATATATTTTATAAGCTGTGGTATCCACAGATCCTGCTGGCAATTTCAGACTCTTGTGTTTTTGTTTTTTTTCCCCAAACACTGCTGTCTGAAAATAACTTGGAAAAGGTTAGAGCCCATGGCCTAAAACAACGTCCAAATATAAACGATCAGTGTGATTAGCTGAATACCCAAAATATGACTATATACATATTTAACCTCAAAGGCTAGGCAGTGAGATAAACAAGTGTGTGATGTATTACAGTGAAAGGATGTTTACTTGTGCTCGGTGAATATTATCACTGCATCACACCAGATTACACTTCTTTTAATTTTGAAAAAATTTTTATGTATTTTTAGAGAGAGAGAGAGCACAAGCAGGGGAGAGGGGAAGGGGGAGAGACAGAAAGAATCCCAAGCAGGCTCCAAGCCGCCAGCACAGGGCCCGACGCGGGGCTCGAACTCACGAATCATGAGATCATGACCTGAGCTGAAACCAGATGTAGACAGATCCTTCTCTATACCAGTTTCACTCTGCTATGCTTTTTTCTCTCTACACAAGAGGAATGAACACACGATTATGATTTTTACCCTTCAACAGCAAAACCCAGTTCCTATACACCTGCAGTAGGTTCCAGATGAAAGTGTATAGGCTATAAGGTCACCGGCCATCCAAGAAGATACACACCATTTTAGTAGATCTTGAGCTTTCCCTGGAACTCTTGGTAACGCAGTCACCAAAGCAGTATCACGTAGTGGTGAAGAGCAGTCTCTACAGTCAGAGGCGCTCCGTTTAAAATTCCCTTCTGCCACTTCCTGCCACTGACCTTGGGCAAACTTCCTCTCTCTCTTTGCTTCACTTTCTTCATCGGTAAAATGGGGAACGTATTTGTCTCACAAAATTCTTAAGAATCAACTGAATTGGGGCACCTAGGGGGCTCAGTCCGTTAAGTATCCCACTTCAGCTCAGGTCATAGTCTCACGATTTGGGAGTTTGAGCCCAGCGTTGAGGCTCTTGTGCCGTCAGTGTGGAGCCCACTTCAGATCCTCTGTCCCCTTCTCCCTCTGCCCCTCCTCTGCTTGTGCTTTCCCTCTCTCTCTCTCTTTCTCTCTCTCTCTCAGAAATAAACACTTAAGAAAAGAAACAAATAAGTTAATGTGTGTAAAGTAATTAGAACATGATTTGATATATGTATGGGAAGCCTTTCAGTGATAGCAATACTTAAGTATTATAATATTTCTATTCTAGGAAATCAAGCCTGAGTTCTGTGTGTGGAATTCATCATTCCAAAGATTAGGCAGCAGGTATATAATTCCAGTATACGATACTTGAGTTTGTACAATGTGCTAGACGTTGGGCTAATGAGGACACAGCATCCACTTATGAGGACCTTTAGTCTGTTCTATAGGGTTCCTGCCATTGGATTCGCTAATGCGTTTAGGCTACTGAATTGAATTCCCTTTGACTTACAGGAGGATATTGACAAAGCAGTGAAGGCCGCAAGACAGGCTTTTCAGATCGGCTCTCCATGGCGCACCATGAATGCTTCAGAGAGAGGGCGGCTAATATACAAGTTGGCTGACTTAATTGAAAGAGATCGTCTTCTCCTGGCAGTGAGTATTAATCCAACTGGGCAGGTAGCGAGATCTCTAGAAAGTACTCGTTGTTTGGATTGGCACTTCGGTTATGTTTTAGTCATCACTACATGCTCACTACAAACAAAACGAAAAGACCTCGACCAGCTCCAGTACAGAAAATCTTATCAGTGAGCTTATTCTCGAGTAGTAATCTGCACTCTAGTTCTAGACGATGTTAATTTCTACTCGTGTAGATTCTACAGTCTAAACCTTGGCAATCCAAGTTAAACCAACCTACACGAATTTCTTTTCTCTATTCTAGAATTCCTTAGAGCCTTCAACGAGGTCACATGCAGTGAATAGCCTAGAATAGTACACTGGGTTTCTCCAACTTACTTGAACATGGGACGCTTTTTATGGAAAATCTCATACAATTTGTCAAAGGTGCCCAGAATATTTCTCTAAAATAAACCTATTTCTCTTTAATCTAGCCCACCAAGACACTTAATAAATAAATGGCTGCTTTTTCCCCTCCTGAAATGTATGCATCCACAATGGTCTCGATTAAATGATATTCTCTTTACAGTTGAAAAAGGTGAAGAAGAAGGAAAGAAATCCAATCGTGCATGGCTTATAATAATTATATTTTAATGTATACTGAGGAAAAAAAACATTTTGGCAGTTAGAAGAGTCAGTTAAGTAAAATGGGCGGGGTGTTTCCTTATTTTCTTCTTAGTTAGGTAATATAGTGAAGCCAATTGAACCCAAACCAATACCAACCAAGATCAAGTTTCAGAGCAAATTTTTATTACCTTTAGAATCTTTTACTGGCAGTAACAAAGAAGCCTCTATACTTATTTTTAAATCAACAGGAGCAATTATAGTTAATCAAAGAACTATTTATTATTTAAAGGTTCAGCGTAATTCAAAGTATGCAAAAGTGTGGACTTAGGAGTTACACACAATAGTATTACATTAACCAAAATGTCCTGGAGGAAGAAAGCAGAATTTGCCAAAACTTGACTTTTCTTATTTAGCTGCTCTGTGGAGTGTAGAGGGCTTGCTCCCTCTGTCTGATAAGCTCCTAAGGGGGAAAGAAAATCAGGACACGAAAATCACGTTCGATCTAAGTTTTGAGATGGCTCACAACATAATGCAGAGACAGAAGATTGTCTGATAAACGAGGAGCTGTTTTAACAGTTTGTCACCCGGACATTCCTGCCCTGGCCGGACATGAGGTCCCAAAGAGCTCTTAAGAGTTCCTGCTTAAGGGAAGGAGGAAAGGAAGACAGGTCATCTGATACCAATAGACGGTTAGAGCACTAGACCAGAAAATGTTGCGCTTTACAGCCTGACCACTCAAACAAGAATTATGATAACAGTGGCAAAACTGGGACTTTCACAATTAAAACTTCTACTGAAGAAAACTCATGAACTAAAAGATGCAGGGGTCACTGAAGTTTGTGTAACTTGATTGGCTATATCCAAACGGCATGCAAAAATTAAAAATCATTGAGGCACTGTTTTTTTTTAATTTTTTTAATGTTTTTTTTTTATTTTTGAGAGAGAGAGAGAGAGAGAGAGTAGGGGAGGGGCAGAGAGAGAGAGAGAGAGAGAGAGATGGAGACACAGAATCTGAAGCAGGCTCCAGGCTCCAAGCTGTCAACACAGAGCCCGACCCAGGACTCGAACCCACAAACGGCGAGATCATGACCCGAGCCGAAGTCGGACGCTCAACTGACTGAGCCACCCAGGCACCCTAATCATTGAGGCACTATTAATAGTCCCCGATATTTAACTGTCCCACAGCTGTATTTATGCACTAAGTGAAATTTTGTTGGATCTCTGATCTAACGAAACTAGGTGTACTCACTCTCACCAACTTCGTGTCTATCAAATTGGAACCAATTCCTAGAAAGCTGGTCAGCTGGAGGACAGTCAGAATGAGATGGAAGAAAGGAACACTAGGGGTTAGTAACCAGAATCTCACTGCCCTTTCTATCTGGATCTTGGTATGTGACCTTAAGCAAGTCTAAGTAAGTCCTTTTAGCCCTTTTCTGTTTTACCCCCTTTGTTAGAAAGGGAAGGTGATATAAGATGGCTTACAGGATTTCTTTCTATTTCCAAAATTCTCTAACACATGATCATTGAAAATAATAACGCTGTATTTTTTAATCTAAAATGTTTGTGGAAGTTTATGTTTGAGGTTTGATTTCTTTTTCAGACAATGGAGTCAATGAATGGTGGAAAACTATTCTCCAACGCATATCAGATGGATTTAGGGGGTTGCATAACGACATTACGCTACTGTGCAGGGTGGGCTGACAAGATCCAGGGTCGCACGATACCCATCGGTAAGGAGCTTTGAGAAACCACCAGGGATGGGGGATAGGTGCGAGAAGATTACTGTAGAGCTGCATTATTCCAAATCCTCCTTTTTAAAGATGTCACCCAAAAAGGCAGTCTTATTTTCACCTCGAGTTTGAGACGATGCAGCTCTGAACTTCTGCTAAGATTTATCACATAGCTTTTTAACATTGTTTCTGCATAGTCACACAGAAAGTACCACTACAGATGTGTTAGACAATTTTAAAGCAAGAGCAGTCTTGTGCCCACAATCACTGAATTAGGGCAATTGTCTCTCTCAAGGCACAAACTTTTCAAAGCTGGCCTCAAATTATTTATTGTGTATTCCAGTCGTGGCATTTATACCCCTCCTATAATGTAATTATTTAAGTGTCTTTGCATGTTCCAGAGTGAGTCAGTTATGGTCATCTGTGCCTGGTCTAACTCAGTAGTTACAGCAGATTAATTAAACAAACCAATTCACATTGATTTATTTCAAGTAGCTTCAAAGCAAGATGAGACTGTGTTTACAGCCCAATTTAAGAATTTGTGAGTAGATGTGTATGTACGTGTTTTATTATTTCAGTAGAGGATGCACATAATGAGATATGAATATAAAGAAGCATCAGTTTGGAAAACATGATGGGTAGAATTTAATTCCTATAAATGCACTTACTGGCTGTAGAAGTACAACACCCTCTGGGCTGGCCCTCCTGGGTATTTTCAATCTCATGACAGCCTCCAGCAGGTTAAAAGTGATAGCCAGGAATTAAAAGGGGGGGAGGGGGCAGTGAGACCATGGTAAAAAACAAGAAATGTGGCTATGTTAGAAATTCTTGCTTTACCCTTTGACGAGGGAGAAACCATTTTAAGTACAAATAGACTTGATAAGGAGCTTTCTTGCTATGATAGCCAGGAAGTTTTTGTGAGAACTAGAATAGAACAGAACAAAATGTGCCATGTAACCTCAGAATGACCACATCAAACTTTGAGGTATATCAATCAATGAAATCCAGATTGCAAAGCAATGTCTTTTACTTCTGACACCTTTTTTAGCAATGTCTTTTACTTCTGGCATTTTTTTTTTCATGGATTAATAGAGTCTGCTTTTATTTTTTGGTAGGAAAAAAAAGCCTTTAGAATAAGCAGTAGGCTTGTAGGGAGATATATTTTTTTTTTAATTCTACTCTCTTCTAATTTTATTAGTTTTACTTCAAAAAAATTTTGCCATTACTGATAGAAGTTAGAACTGTCAGAAATAGCACTCTAACAGGTATTTTCTTAGTCATACACCTTTTATCTTTTTTCTTTTTCTTTTTTTTTTAAGTTTATTTATATATTTTGAGAAAGAGAAAAAGAGAGAGAGAGAGCACATGTGCACGTGCGTGTGCACGTGCATGAGTGGGGTTGGGGCAGAGAAAGAGGGAGAGAAACAGAGAATCCCAAGGAGGCTCTGCACTGTCTGCACAGAGCCCAGCACAGGGCTGGAACTCACAAACCATGATCATGACCTGAGCTGAAACCAAGAGTCTGATGCTCAACTGACAGGGGCACCTAGGTGCCCCCCTTTTACCTTTTTTCTTAAGAAAGTAAACTTTGAGAATGAGGATAATTTAGAAAATAGCCCTTCTACATGGGTGAGAGATAGAACTAAATATCTTTCAGATATTTTCTGCTTTCACATCTTTTTCTTGACCTATATCAGTTTTATGGTTCCTCTCATTTCAAATTACTATTTCAGAACACAATTTTTCATTGTGTAAGTGGTTGGAGATATGTTTTCTTGGTTTCCTAAATTTTTGGTTTTGTTTTTATTATTATTTTTTTCAATGTTTGTTTATTTGGAGAGAGATAGAGATAGAGTGTGATTTGGGGAGAGGCAGAGAGAGAAGGAGACACAGAATCCAAAGCAGGCTCCAGGCTCTGAATTGTCAGCACAGAGCCAGACGTGGGGCTCGAACTCATGAGCCATGAGATCATGACCTGAGCTGAAGTCAGATGCTTAACTGACTGAGCCACCCAGGCACCCTTGTTTTTGGTTTTAGTTATTGTGTATACCTTTCTGTAAGTATCAACCCAAACCACCATCCCATGTATGTCAAATATATTTGCCCATAAATGATTGTGTTTTATTTTCCAGATGGAAACTTTTTTACTTATACAAGACATGAGCCTATTGGTGTATGTGGCCAAATCATTCCTGTAAGTTGGTTTTCTATATCATTTTCCATTTTAAAACAGAAAAAAAAGAATTCTATTTCATTTGGTAAGGAAGCTTTATCCAACACAAATACGTTCTCAGAGATTTGCTAAATGTGGACCAAATGTAGTAACTGATGAGCTTAGGTCTCCCTGTGACTGAACTCTTTAGATACAAATGAGTTAGCCCAGAATCGTATCTATATTGTGGTGTATCTTTTGAGTGTTTCAGTACTTGAGTGTGTTTCAGCATTGACATTGACATTTACTGTATGGTTTGTTTTTAAAATGCTGTGTTATGTACTCTTTTTAAGACCCGTGTTTCACATGTAACCAAAGTGGTCATCACCAACTTCTCTGCTTCTATTCTTCACTTTTAATCTCCTCATTGAGACTTATCATGGAGAATAGTAGCAACCAGTGTTCATGTCCTAAATGCCTGTTTTCAATTAAAATGGAAGGACCTGTTGGACCACTGTATGGAATGTATCCTACCTTTAGTAGTATTTTTAAGCAGAATCATGAAGATTTTCTTTTAAACCCCCAAAAGAGGAGGCTACGTAACTGATTTCGCCAACATATTCAAAGAGGCCAAATAAAAAGTTGGCAGGGTATTCTGAAGTTTTTGATTATTTTTTAAAAACGTTTATTTATTTTGAGAGAGAGAAAGAGAGCAGGTGCGAGCAGGGAATGAGCAGAGAGAGAGGAAGAGAGAGAATCCCAAGCTGGTTCCAGGTTGTCAGCAAAGAGCCCAATACGAGTCTCCATCTCTGAATCATGAGATCATGACCTGAGCTGAAATCGGGGGTTGGTTGCTTAACTGATGGAACCACACAGCCACCCGTGAAGTTTTTAAATGAGGAAGTCACAATGAATTAGCTTCTGCTCCAATGAGACTGAAATGCATACATGCAATTTTTTGAATGAAATCGCTCATTACTTCACAAATCTTAATAAAATTAATAAAAACTATGAAATCCTGGGCACTAATAATGGCTAATATTTATTGCATGACTATGATGAATCAGTCTCTTAAGTCTTTGGCCTACTTTCTTGAAGAATCCTCAGGATGACCTTCCGAAGTAGAGAGGATTTTTATCAGTACTTACAGATGAAGAAATCATCCAAGGAGAGCATGTAACTTGTCTGAGTTCACTGGGCTAGTCAGTGACTGAGCTGAGATTTGAACCAAGTTCTTAGCCACCAGACGCTAAACTTTAATGTCTTTAGCGAGATATTTGTCTTAGAAATAAACACATACCCACATACCCCCATACCCACATACACACTCACATACATATAATTTTTATTATTGAAGTATAGCTGACATACAGTGTTATATTAGTTTCAGGTCACTGTTAAGTCTTACTATTGGGTGTGTAGTTACAATAAATGATCTATAAGGAAGGAGGAATAATCACACTTTTCAAACACGTACAGATAACTTCTAGTGTGTTTAATAGCAAGGTTTGATTTTTAAACCATGCAGTGATTTTTTTTCCCCTCCAGTAGATGAAGAACTCATAATAACAGCCCTTGATAAAATTGTATGGCTCTCTTCCACTCCCGTCCCACATCTAGCTTACTTGGAGCTTTTTAGCATTTATGAGTTTGCTTTTAGCAATTAACTGAATTCGAATACACCAGTTGACCGCACAAAACTACCACAATTATTATTTCACATCAATGGGTAGTGGATAATGTAGAAGTTAGATTGGCAAAGGTAGCTTTCAGTGATACAAAGAATCTATTGTTATATATTGCTTTCTAGTGGAATTTCCCGTTGGTCATGCTCATTTGGAAGATAGGGCCTGCCCTTAGCTGCGGAAATACAGTGGTTGTCAAACCTGCAGAGCAAACTCCTCTCACTGCTCTTCACGTGGCATCTTTAATACAAGAGGTGAGTTTCCCCCATCAAAATATGCACAAGAACTCGGGAGCCTTCATTTACAATAAGAAGACCTCACTTTGTGCTCCCCTAAACTACCTCCCAATGGCTCCTGGCCAGTGATGAAGACAAATTTAATATGGCTGCCAGTTGAGATTTTTTGCAATCAGCCCAAATGCACCTCTGCCCAAATGGAGATAAGATGCCAGATTCAAAGGCTTCATGTCAAACAGTCACCTTAGGATCACTTTTGTTTGTTTCTTTTTAAAAATTTTTTAATGTTCATTCATTTTTGGGAGACCGCGCCCCTTGTTTATTTGTTTCTTTGGCCTAACTCTCATGAATATGACTTCATGTTGAAACTGAAGTATCCTTCTTTTGGATATTGAAATGAAAATTGGTTTATAACCGGTACCGATGGCCTGGAGGTTCTGCGATTTAAAATTAAAAAAAAAAAAAAAAAAAAAAAAAAAAAAAAAAAAAACTAGTCCATTCGAAGGTTGGAGGCCTCTCTGCTCACTTGTAATATTGTGCCACATAATTTTTGAACACATCTACCCACAAGGGGACATGTTTATGTTCTGTTTTCTATTCTAGTTTCCTCTGCATTTGCCTTCTTGCTTAACAAGTGGCAAAAAAAAAATTTGCACGTGAAATTTATTTCCATCCACTGTCTGGATTGTGTTAATATCTTTTTTCTTGCAAACAATTTATTGCCCATTGTCCTTCATGTCTTTCCAGAACTTAGAAAACAAGCTTTAGTTACTAGACACTTAAATTTTAAAAACCTGAGTGTAAATCTTAAAACTATTCTTCACTTTAAAAAAAAGGCAAAGATATATCAAAATGGGGCACGTTGGTGCCTACAACGTGAAATGTGATGGTGCCCATCTCAGGTACACACTGTTTTCTACCTCATCATTTTTTTAACGAGGAATGAAATCAGTCTGTGCCACTTAATCATGCACGGGATGACGATTCTTATCTAATGTTTTACTGATTAAATATTGCCAGTAGGCTTTTGCCACCCAGTTGGTATGCCCTGCACAATCAATAGCTAGAAACTAAAAATGTAAGATCCTTTTAGATTTGCTGATAGGTTAATAAACGCATTGCTTTCCTTCTATGTGAGTAATTTACCAAGTTCTTTTACCCATACTATCTTTCTGAGTTACCGTTAGGAAACTTGAGACAGCCATCACTGGGGCAATGACCCATAAAAGTCAAACATGGTCTTACCCCGAGGAGAAATACTTCCCCAGCAATGCAACTCTTGAGGTTATTTTAAGTGGGCTGAGAAATGAAATAATAATAATAAAACCACATAAACGAATCTTTCCTGGTAGAGAAACTCATAAGCTCGGCATAAAGAGAAACTTTGATCCCATACACTCCTCTTTTTTGTCGTAGAATGAGATTCTCAGTTCTGTTGTAAATATTTTACTTTGTATCCTCAGGCAGGTTTCCCTCCAGGAGTAGTGAACATTGTGCCTGGTTATGGACCTACCGCAGGGGCGGCCATTTCTTCCCACATGGACATAGACAAAGTGGCCTTCACAGGATCTACAGAGGTAATCAGTTACTCGGGCCAGTAGTGAGGAATGTCTGTATCTCCAGGTGTCAGAAGCGTGTGTTTTATGTAACTGTTTTTAAGCCGACGTTTCTTTAAAACAAAAGTTCTTTTTAATGATTTGTTCCTTATTCAAGCCTTCAGACGTGTTTATAGAACATAAGCAGATGTAGTTGAGATGAAACGGAATACCTGTGACAAACTCGGACTACAGTGAACTGCTTTTAGAATGTTCATTCCTTTCCCTGATGAGAACTAGAGCCAATTGGATCCTGTCATGTGATTAGTATGGTTTATGATAGAAATTCTAAATAGAGCCACAGTGATTTGTATGAATGAATGTAATTTTACCCTGTAGATTATGAAAATTAAATTGCAGAATATCACCCTTAGCTCCTTATTTGGGGTTCTCTGTTTCTTGATCGTTCTGAAAGGGAGCCAGCAACTCAGCTTCCTGAATGTTACTGCTGGTTTAGCCTAACTGTTATGCCTTTTTGGCTCCAGTGCGACCTTCTGGAAGGCTAAAGAACAGGGTCTCAGCCATGGGCACTGCAAGAAGAGGCAGGAAGGAGAGAGAGAGAGAGCGCTTCCTGGAAAGTGGAGTTTGGGAGAATGGATTCCCACCTATTGAGATGATTTCCTATTACAAGCAAAAGACAGTGGTAAACTTGTACTGTACCAAGTAAAACACAATTTGAGTCCTCTTATTGGATTATGTGACATTGTTAGAAGATGAGTGCAAACCTTTTACTGGTATTCAGTAGAAAGTTTGAAGAATGAGAATGCTTTCCTATAAAGTAGCTGTTACAAATAAGATACACAGCAAGACGTGATAAGATACTATGATATGTGTCGACTGCTCTGAGGGCATTCACAGGAAGGAATAAGGAATGGTGATGTCTACGTAGGTGTTAGGACTTGCGCTGAATTTTGAAGAGGGGTTACTTTTTTAACTCCCTTGGAGATTGAGAAGCAAGAAGAACATTCTAGATAATGAGGAGAAGCTAATTGGATTATTTTATACTCCTACTTAGCCACTCCAGTATAAAGAAACACCTACATAGAGAATTAAAATGGTGGACGGGCGCCTGGGGGGGCTCAGTCGGTTAAGCATCTGACTTCGACTCAGGTCATGGTCTCGCGGTCTATGGGTTTGAGCCCCACGTCGGGCTCTGTGCTGACAGCTCGGAGCCTGGAGCCTGCTTCAGCTATTCTCTCTCTCTGCCCCTGCCCTGCTCACACTCTGTCTCTCTCTTTCTCAAAAATAAATAAAACATTAAAAATTTTTTTAAATGGTGGAAAATCAAAAGTTACTCTTCTTGATTTTTTTTAAAAATTAAATACTTATGTACTTTTTCTTACATTTCATAGGCATAGAATAGAAAAAGTTTACATTCTGCAAACTCCTAGTTGATGCGAGGGAAAGCAAATCCTGCATTCGGTGGGACAAAATAATTGGAAATGAGACATGGCAATAAGTTAGAAAGTGGGAAAGTCACAGATCAGAATCATAGCAGAGGAGATAAGGTCAGGAAGGTACAAACTCCTCAGCTGAGCATTCTAGACCCTCCCCCAAAGGACTCCATGCATATTTCCTCCTCTAGATCCCATGCCCACTCATTCTCTAGTTCATCTGGGATGTTGCCTGACCCCTCTCTGGAACCACTGCCTATTTGCCTTGGCCCATCCCCAGGCCCCTGCAGCATTTTGGGGGAGTTTACCTGCCAAAAATAGAAAAATTTTGAGGTTAACAGACTAGGCAGGCAACATCTGGGCTCAAATTCTGACTCTATCCCTTTACGCAGTGTGTCTTCCAAAAGTTAAGTATCATTGCTAAACTTGCATTTCTAATTTGTGAATGGGAATAATAATGTCTACCTTAGTGTACAGAATAAAATTGACAGAGCTAATGAGTAGTAAACACCTTACTAGCGAGCACCCTATAGAGGACTCAGATGTATCGTTTCCTTCCTCCAGGCTTGTGCCCACTGGTGGCCACACCTACTATGATAAGGCTGCTGCCACATGTTACCTCTATGGCTCTCTCTGCAGTTTCGGGGGCATGCTGAATTTTTTAAATGCTGGTTTATTTGTTATTGAGAGAGAGAGACAGAGAGAGGCTGAGAGAGAGGGAGAGAGAGAATCCCAAGCAGGATCTGTGCTGTCAGTGCAGAGCCTGACACGAGGCTCCATCCCACAAACTGTGAACTCATGACCCAAGCCGAAATCAGGAGTCGGATGTTTAACCGACTGAGCCACCCAGGTGCCCCCATCCTGAATTTGAACCTCCCCTCCTGTGTCCCCATTAACCATGGTACATGATTATAATAGCTCGTGCTCTTTGCTTGATCGTGGATCTCTCTCCTTTGCTGACCATCCTCAAAGACTATTTTATGCATTGTTATCTGCAGAAACCAGTACAGTAACTACTTCTGAATAAGCATTAAATAATCAAGTGTAACCAATATGATTTTAGAGGCCACGCAGAAAACTCGGTCTTCCTGGGCTCTCTTTTAGCTTCAGGTTTGTGTTTAGCAGATAGCAAGAAACTTGCCAAGGGCCGTGAAAGAGGCAAACAGGGGATTCCATCTTGCGTGGTCCTTATAGCAATGACACTCTTTCTAAAAATCCTTCTGGTAAAAGAAGAATGTTCATGCCTCATTCGATTCGTTTAAAACAGAATCCAACATACACTGTGCACGGTGAGATAAGCTCGGCTATTTTCACGAGCATCTGCTGTTTCTGCCCCACATGGCAATGCCACGTTATCATGCCACATATTGTTGACCATGGTCTTGAAGGTTCTTATCCTTCTCATTGCAGAGCTTTATTAAGAAAAATGATAAACCTTTACTTTTTTCCAAGTAAAGAAACAAAATCACAAGGCAAAAATTGATGTTTCCTTCTTTTAGCGTTAGCTAGACCTTTGAGAAAACTCAAACAAACCTTTTGTTGGCCATCTAAACTTGTCCTAAGCAGATGTGTAACCTTCCTCTCTTACTCATACTTCTAGCCATTCTTCATTCTCATTCTTCTGACATATGTGGCTTTAAGAAAAATATCTCCAATCTTATTCCCTTCCCCAAGGCAAAACTTACCTACTTTAATCAAGTTTCCCCAGTAAATGTTTCTAAGTTAAACAATTAAGAAAAAAAAAAGATGCAGAAAGAATTAAATTCAAAGGAGGAAAAGAAAAGCATATTATATAGGAAATACAGAATTCTTAATCATCTTAAATGAAAATTGAATAAGAAGTATATTATGGAAAGAAAATGGTATATAAGAAAAATTTCAGACAGGATTTCCCTACTGCAAGCAAGTTAGTTTCTCTTTATTCACCCATATTAAAGGGTTTGTGCACAACATCTTGAAATAAGATAAAAACATTGACAGATTAATTAATGCTTTACTCTGTAATGCACAGTAGCATTCGGCTCAGTAACCACGTAAAAATCAAACACACACTCAGCAAGCATCTACTTATCTTTTGTTCCATTGGGATAGAAACTTTTTATTTAACTCTGATGTGTCAAATAGGAAAAGAAACCCAGAAGCAAGATAAAATGAATCATCTCTCAAAAAAGAAAAGCAAAGATCATTTAAGTACATTCGGACTTCAATAAAACTAATGAGGAGGAAATAGTTGTAAAGCAGGCCAGGTTTTAGAGATGGAAAAATAAAACAACTACAGAAAATAATCTTGATGGGATGTGATCCACAAAGAAAAAAAATGAAAACAATGTCTTTCTCTGAAGAGAGGCAGCAAGCATTAAAGAAGAAACCAGAACAGTAGGATTCCAGCTAGCTGAAGTAGCAGCAGAGAGCACAGATCCAATTTCTTTTTTCTAGCTCTACTGTTCAAAGGTGTGGAGGGAGAGGGGAAGGGAAGAATGCAGGGGGGAGACAGAGAGAGGAAGAGAGAGAGAGAGAGAGAGAGAGAGAGAGATACCTGTCAGTCAGTTCATAGTTAAACAAACCCCCACCGCAACAGATAGTGCTAACAAGAAATACGCAATGATAGGACTTTATCACTGCTACCAAGGAGGTGATACCTGTTTGGGAAATTGATATGGACACAAATAATACAATCCGAGGTAGACACTGAAGCAATCCTCATGAGCGTTGTATGGGGCAAAAGAGGAAGAAAAAGTCATGTCTACCCAGAGTCAACAGAGCAGGCTTCAAAGAAGTGTTCAGATATCAGCTGGACCCCAAGGAAGGGCAGGACTGGAGTCAACCCAGGTCACAAGGAGCACGTGATGAGAAACAGAGATGAGATTTGGGGGGTTAGTGAATATGACCGTTCGGACAGAGTTCTCTGGATTGCTGTAGAGGGATAGAATTAAAGTAGGTAAGTTTTGGCTGGACCGTGACATCTCAAGTCCATCAGTAGAAAGGGGAAGTTCTGATTAAAATGAAAACTACCTCCTGTCCAGTGGTGTTCATCAAGGTCAGCGGTGGATCTTTTCTCATGAGCGTTTTTCGGATTCATCACATGTGTGCTCGGTTGGAGGAGCCTTTGATATCTGAAGGTGCCAGTCTCGAAAAATGCCACTAATGTCTCTCCCTAATGAAACGTAACTATGGCACAAACATTGTCTAAATTTAGAATGCCAAATAAACCCACCTTCACGGGAGCAGACTAAGCCTCCTCCTTTGTAATGCTCCATTACAGGTTGGCAAAATGATCAAAGAAGCTGCCGGGAAAAGCAATCTGAAGAGGGTGACGCTGGAGCTTGGTGGAAAGAGCCCCTGCATTGTGTTTGCCGACGCCGACTGTGAGTGAAAGCCACTCTTAACTTTTCACCCCTCACCTTGGTGTCCCGTAATGCCGTATGGAGAACCTGAAGTTTATAAAAGGGTTTGCCCCTAACGTCAAAATGTAAGGCATTAATGAGAATCTAGAATTACTCGTGAAAGTCTCTCAAACTGTCCGAAAGTACAACACCTAGATAAGTCTAACACAGACACTCTTTCCTCGTGATTTGGAATAGTTTGCTATTTCCTCAGCTGAACTCCAGGCAAACTAACTGTTTTGCACTTAGGAGCCATGGTGTATTCTTAATTAAGTCTATGCCTTTAAATATTAGCATTGGGTTAGGCATGGTGAAATTGTACTGGGACCAGCTAGGGAGACAGTAAATTTCACATTTGTCCTTTCCCTTCGCTCTGGGTCATACACACATTAAATGAAATGGCCAGGGGAAAATGACGTCTATTATTCAAGGAATTTCTCCCTCTCTTTCTCTTCCTAGCAAGTGTAGTCAAATTTACATATATTCAATCTCCAATCATGATCTGACTCCACTATACAATATCCCAGGTTCATTCTCAGTATATTACCGAGTAAAATCCCATAGTTATTTTCTAAATGGATGTCAATTAGCAGAAATAGGTTGTCAAGCATTCATCTAGCTCTTTCTTTAGCAGTTGAGGTATATGGCAATGAACAAAAATGGCTGAATGTGGTCATAACTGAAGCTTTTCAGACCACACTACCTTATTATATACTCTACAAACGAGATTCCTGATTTTTACCAAACCTTTCTGTGAACTGTTTCCACTACAACGTAAGTAGGTGTGGTTAGTTCACAAAAGAAATACAACAGCACTCGACTGACATATGTTCAATTAAGTTTTCAGCATTTAAAAAATTAAAATGCAGAGAAAACTTTCTTCAGGTTGTTTAGGACTTAATAATGACGCAACCTTTTCCTCCCTTTCAAGACCCATTCTACCATCTCAAATACATAGGGAAGAAGAGCTTATAGGCATATATGAAATAATACAGTATATTTTAAATAAAGCTGGAGAATGTTTTTTCTGGACCAGGGTTGTAAGGCTTGGTGAATGATTCTGGATATTAATTTTTTTTCAGAAATAACACTTTTCTTATTGATCAGGGTGTCTAAAAATATTTTTAAGTTATTTAATGCAATTGATAGTTCATATTTTCTTTGTCATGTAGTTAAAACTTGGAGCCTGAAATATTCATAGTCACCTAACTAAGTATAAATGGAGATATTTATAAAAATCGTTTGCAGGGGGATTGGATCTTGTGACACTTTCTATATTCTTGGTAATACCTACATCAAAATTGTAATAATAACCACAATTCTTTTTAGATTCAATATTTTTTGCTATCATTTCCATATCACAGAGAGGATTAGAAAGGGTAATTTGTCACCTGGATGATAAGAGGTGGGATGTATTGAATTTATGTCTGATTCTGCAACTCATAAGTTTTCCACAGCACCATATTGCCTCTGACAGATATGTATAAAAATATGTAACCTTTAGAAAATAACTCTTCTTCAATGTGAGTGTCTTCTTTGCAGTGGATAATGCCATTGAATTTTCCCACCATGGATTATTCTACCACCAAGGCCAGTGTTGCATAGCTGCATCCAGACTCTTTGTGGAAGAATCAATTTATGATGAGTTTGTTCGAAGGAGTGTTGAACGGGCTAAAAAATACGTTCTTGGAAATCCTCTGACCCCAGGAGTCAGTCAAGGCCCTCAAGTGAGTATAAAATGGAAGGAATAGCTTTCACAGAGGACAAGAAAAAGTGCCCTCTTTAGGCTTACTTATTACTGAGTAAGATTATTTCCTTGCCACAGATCTTCCTAGGTGACAATACTGTATCAGTTTGGTATTTAACAAAAATAAATAAATAAATAAATAAATAAATAAATAAATAAATATAGCGCCCGATTTAAAGAAAGCATCCTTTCTTGTGTGTTGCCCACTCTTCATGTCTTGAAACAGTTTAGAAGCATGTTGAAAATGAAAGATGTGAGGAGAAACAACAAATGCTGTAGGTTTCTTGTTTTTCTCCACCTGCACACCTCTTGATTCCTGTATGTGGTCTCCGTCCACTTTGGAAGTTTGTATACAGTCCTATCATTTATATCTTCCTCTGAGTCAGTCCTTTTTCTCAGTTTACATCTCACAGATGTGGGCAGGAAGCATACCTCTAAACTCTCTCCAGTCTTCAGTTACTCTGATTGGCCTTCTAATGGTGGCCTGGGTGTCCTAGAAGGTCCTGAGTTCCTGGCTCTGTGACAAACTTCTCATTTTAGGTGGAGAACCCTAGTTCTCCAACAACCCTAAGCTTCCCAGTTTTTTCTGTCTTCTTAGACCCATTATCAACGTGAGAGTCTTGTTCTTGTCCAAAAGCTATCTTTGCCCTTTCCTTCCTTCCTGTTCATTGTCTGTTATGCAAGCTCCTGGATCTTTGGTTCTAAATTTACTCCAACCCTCTGGGACCTTGATGTAGAGCAGTGGTTCTCAGTTGGGAAAGGGGGTGTTTCTACTGGTATCTAGTAGAGGGTAGAGGCCAGAGATGCTATAAAACATCTTACAATGCAACAGGCGAGCCCCACAACTAAGAGTTATCTGCCATAAAATGCCAATAAGGCTGCTGTTTAGAAATCCTTCTCTAGAGTGTAGACATTAAGCTTAGAGTCTCTATTCTTTCACACTAAAAATTATACACTGTTCCATGCTGTTGATTTGAAGCAAACACTAATCTTAACTTACTAAACCAAAAATAAATGTGGTTTACCAAAATACTGAATTTACTGGGATAAGTACCTGGCAAAGCCAAAAGGAACAAGGAGGATATGATACCTGACCTCATGGAGTTTACAGTCTGGAAAGGTTAAAAGGATGTTTTGGGTTCTTCTGCTCATGCAAGATAGCCAAGTAGGAAAATCTTAGGATTTAGACAATGCCAGGTATTGAAACCTAAAAGCCCTAAAATAACTCAGCTGGCAAATGAAGTAATACATTGATTTATCTCAGTCACATGTGCTTTGTTTTTATCTTTGAGTTAATGAGTACATAGAAGTAATTGATGATTTTGCTCATATTAGGTAGGTTTTCAAATGGATGCCAAGACATATAATAAATTTGATTTTGATTTGGTCCCCAATTCTAAAAGCAGGATGGGATTCTAAGTTTTCAGTTTGATTATTTCTCTCTATAAATGACTACCTATCTATGTAAAAGTAAAGCATTTTTCCCATTTGATGTATTGATAGATAGATGATAGATAGATAGATCCAAAGAGGAACAGGGAAGGAAAAAAGGGGAAATGAAGAGAATAGAATATGTAAGATACTTAATATTAAACATTGTTGGGCAATACACTCTCCCATTGGGGGATCCGTGCAATTCAACCAGAGGCTCAAAAGTTGATCTAGAATACCTCATTCTTCCTAAGAGAAGGGAGTTAAAATAGACTTTAAGAAAATTCCTATTCATAGAATCTTAAGTAAACAGTGATCTAACTGCTTAATATGAGGCCTTAATCTCTATAAGCAAATAGATTTTCATCGCAAGTTTTACTGAGTAAATAGAATAAGTAGATTTTTGAGAAGACTGAAAAGGCCTTGAAACTTCTTCACCCTTAAAAATATCTGTTGTTATAAGACAAAACTTTCAGAAAGAGACATTTGTGCACTAATGTATATGTATATACATTATATGTATATGTAAATACATATTACATATATACACACACATATATACGTATGTGTACATATATATGTGTGTGTATTATATATACATATATATAAATTTCTTAATGGGTAAAGTGATTTTCCAGTCTGATTTCACAGACCAAAATGTGCCTTTTTCAACACCTGGAAATATCTATGTTTTCATTTGAAAAAGAAGTAATGATACCAATATTAAATGTTGTAACATTATCAGCACAGTTGCATTTGTCTTAATGCGGAGAGATGGGCTTTGGAAATAGAGGTTGGATTTAAAATCTAACCTCCCTGAGGCTCTGTTTTCTCATCTGTAAAATGGAAGTAGTAACACCAATCTTGTGGGGTCATTGTGCAGTGAAATGCAATAATCTATATAAAGCATCTATCTAAGTGCCTGGTTCACAGTACATGCTCAAATGCCTGTTAAATAAATGAGAATTGCAGGCTCCCATTTACAACTGTGGTGACAATTATTATCACAGATCAATAACTCCATATATCTGCTCTCATTGCTTTTGTTGATCTATGGTTTCCAAATAAGTTGAAGGGTGTGTCCGTGTCATTTCCCCCTTTTTCTTCTTTCTCAGCCCACGAACCCTAAGGAGTGAAAGAATTTGCGCATTCAAACACATCAAAATGTATACTCTGAGGCTATTACAATGCCATGCCCTATTACATTTCAGACTAGCCCATGAGCTAACGGCCCATCGCACAGTAGAGAGCCCCTGCTACATCCTAGCATTATTGAGAAGTTCCTGAGGGCCAAAAGGAGAGCCAAATTCAGATATGGCCAGTCTGAAACCTTCTGAGGAAGATTAGTATGTATGGTGAATCAAAATCAGCGAGACTCAACTGAGTATGTTCCTAAGTACAACTGAAAACTTCCCTCACTAGGCCTAGCTCTAATGCAACATGCCCAATCGTTCCTGTGCATTTGAATCACCAGAGGATCTCGTTAAAAAGGCCAATTCTGACGCAGTAGGTCTTGGGTGAGGCCTGAGAAATGCATTTTCGCCACCAAGTAATGCTAAAGTTGCTGGTTAGAGAACCACATTGTCGGTAGCCAGACAGTAAAAGATGAATTCCTATATTTTTAGAGGTTATTGACCATCGAAGTCTTCCAGTAGTCAAATCCTTTCAGCCTTTACCTCCCAGTGCATAAGCCAGACTAGCACGGTCACCAAGTATCCACTCTGGTCATAGGCAGGGAAAGGTTGTGGCTTAGGGCCATAACAATCAAGATTGTTTTGAGGCCACAGTCAAGTGAATATTTTGGAATAGGCCAGGGAAGCTTTGCACGGAGACACAAGGATGCTTGGTTATTTGCTGACAAACCAGAATATTTTCACCAGGCAGAACTAACAGCACCACTTAGTCTGGCTGTAGAAGGTATTATGCAGCAATTTAAATATCAAACCAACATTTCTTAAACCAACCCTACGACTTCCTTAATTTGCTGGAAATGAAAGAACATTTTCTTTGGAGACTATTCAATTAAATATCGTGCACTACGGAGGATTGAGCAACATCGTACCGAATATCGTGCCAGATTTTAGAAAACCGTTTCTGGTTCCAGGTAGCACGTAATCTAATTGGATATGGGAGCTGGTTTGTGTGGTCAGAGGTCTTTGAAACTTTTTCCTGGGATTTAGAAGATGGGGGAGATTGCAGGGTAAAAGATGATGAAGAGCAACACTTTTTAAGTAGTAAAAAAAGACGAGCTAGCAAGAGGGTCCCCCCCCCCACTTGACTCCTGGATCTTCAATCGTTTTCCTTTAAAAATTTATAATAATGCTTGTTTATTTTTGAGAGAGAGAGAAGGGGAGGGGCAGAGAGAGAGGAAGACACAGAATCCGAAGCAGGCTCCAGGCTCCGAGCTGTCAGCACAGATACGCGGGGCTCTAACTCACGAACCGTGAGATCATGACCTGAGCCGAAGTCATGACCTGAGCTGAAGTCGTGACCTGAGCTGAAATCGGATGCTTAACCGACTGAGCCAGGCAGGCGCCCTTAATCTTTTTCCTTTAAAACTAAACCTTAACCTGCTGAGAGGGACCTGAACTGAAGAGGATGACCAGACTGTGGTCAGCATGGATCTGGCCAGAGGAGATAGGAATGAGGAGAACCAAAGAGAGGTCTAGGGATCGGCAAAGTCCCAAAACATCTGCTTGCCAATTGCCATATTTAGTTAAACCCATTCCCAAAGTTCTTTTTTCCTTTCACTCTTTATTTCACTTTGGACTACAGTAGTCAAGTAAGTATGTTTGACTATGAACAGGCATTTTTCCAGGGTAAATACGTAAATAATGTAAATAAATAACACTTGTTTGCAGTGATCATGTGCTTTTCTTATGTAACTATAAAACAGATACTAAATACAAATATTTATCTTTAAGTGTGCTTTCCAGAAAAGTCAGGAGAATAAACACAGAATTAATCTGAGCCTCTGTCAGCTATTTTGATAGGATATTTGACTTCATAACAATTTTCGAGCATTTTGAAGCCCTCATTAACAGGCTGAGTGATGTATTACTTCCATAAACTTGCTTTCTTAATTCATTCACTTATTTTCCGCTCCGTATGATATTTTTCAAATAGATTGACAAGGAACAATATGAAAAAATACTTGACCTCATTGAGAGTGGGAAGAAAGAAGGGGCCAAACTGGAATGCGGTGGAGGCCCCTGGGGGAATAAAGGCTACTTCATCCAGCCCACAGTTTTCTCTAATGTTACAGACGAGATGCGCATCGCCAAAGAGGAGGTAAATGCTTTCATCCTGCTCTGTTCCCTTTGTTGCCAGGTTTTATCTACGTGTGTGGGTACAAAGTGTCCCTTTAAAATTCTCGGTTCTTTGAACATCGTTATTGGTTTGCATGTAACTTTCCATTTCTGCTACCGATAAACGTTTATTTGTGATCAAGACTCAAAATAGCAAGGGAGTCATGAGCCTGGCCAAGAGTTTCCAGCCAAGGGCAGATCAGGATGCTTAATAACTTCTAGGTGATTCTTCCACAGCCTGAGAGATGAAGAAAACTTCATCTTCATTGTTCCTTTTTCTCCTCTGGAAATAATATATTTGAAGATTATTGGATTGATTATTAATGATTATTATTACATGATATGAAGGATTTTTTAAATTTTTTTAACTTTATTTATTTAGAGAGAGAAAGAGTGAGAGAGTTTGGAGGGGCAGAAAGAGAGAATCTCAAGCAGGCTTTGCACTGCCACCACAGACCCAGACACGGGGTTTGAACTCACAAACCATGAGATCATGACCTGAGTCAAAAGTTGGACACTTAACCGACTGAGCCACCCAGGTGCCCCAGATAGGCAGGATTTTTTTTTTTTTTTTTTAATGAAGGCACTTAATTGTGATATGCACGGGGTGTTATAGGTAAGTGATGAACATTAAATTCTACTCCTGAAACTAATATACACTATACTTTAGCTAGAATTAAAAAAAAAAATACTTGAAACAAAATTAAGCCTCTTATTTTGAGGTAATTGTAGATTCAACTGCTGTTATGAGAAGTGATGCAGACGGGTCCCATGTGCTTTTTACCCTGTCTCCTTCAAATGGGAACATCTTGCACAACTATAGCATAACATTACAGCAGGTATGTTGACATGGAAACAGGCAAAACACCAAATGTCTCCTCACCACATAAATCCTTCATGTTTCCTTTCGAGTCAAATCCATGTGCCTCCTACACACACTATCCTTCAACCACTTATCTGTTCTCCATTTCTATTACTTTGTTGTTTGAAGAATTTTACATAAATAGATTCATTCTCCATGCAACCTTTCAGGATTGGCTTTTTTGGTTTTTTTCTCACTCCGCTTAACTTTCTACAGATTCAACTACGTCATTGCGTGTAAGGATAGTTTGTTCTTTTTTACTGCAGAGTAGTACTCTGTTGTATGGATGTACCACCATTTAACCATTCACCTACAGAAGAATGTGTGGATTGTTTTCCATTTGGGGCTACTATGAATAACGCTGCTATAAACATGGGTGTGCATGTTTTTGTAAGAACCTAAGTCTTCCTTTCTCTGGGATGAATGCCCAGGAGTACAATTACTGGGCCGTATGGTAGATGGAAGTTTTAAAGAAACTGGCAAACTGGTTTCCAGAGTGGCTGAACACTTTCACGTTCCCATTAGCAATGTATGAGTGACCCAGTTTCCCTGCACCCTCGCTCACATTAATGTTGCGACTGTTTTTGATTTTAGCTGTTTAGCACTATGTTGAATAAGAGTAGCAAGAGCGGACACCTTTGCTTTGATCTCTATCAAGGGGGAAAAGCATTCAGTCTTTGCCATTGAATGTGATGTTAGCTGTGAGATTTTCGTAAATGCCCTTAATCAGGTTTGGGAAGAGCCTTTCTTCTAATTTGTTGAGAGCGAAAGGAGAATGGTTTTGTCAAATGCTTTTTCTGTGTTAACTGAGATGATTATGCGGTATTTTCTTTCTTCATTCTACCAATGTGGTGTATTATATTAATTGATTTTTGAATAATGAACCAGCCGTACATCTCTGGAATGAATCTCACTTGGTAATGGTGCGTAATTCTTTGTATGTATTGCTGAATACTATTTGTTAATACTTTTTAAGAACCTTTGCTGTGGTTGATATTTGTCTTTAGTCTGAGGGATATTGGTCTATAGTTTTGTTTGTTTTAATAATAAGAACCATTTAGTGATTACTTATTATATGCCAGATATAGTGCTAAGTGACTTATCAGGACCAATATAAAACATAAATATGTTCCTATGAAATATATTAAATATAAATATTTTATTTATGTCATCAATACATATTTATATTTATGACATTTGTATTCATTTTTTATAAAGTTTAGTGTATATAAATATATTTTTATAAATAAATATAAAATATTTACTATAATATAAAATATTCTCATTTCATTCTCACATCAACCTCTTAAGAGGAGTATTATATTCTTTTCTTTAGTCTTTTCTTCCCAGAAAAAAATGCTCTCTTTTATTATTTTCACCTATTTAGAGTGGTAGTATTTTTCTAATAAAAACCTCAGGGCATTTATAAGGTGTAAATTCCTATGTTACATTTTTATGACTGGTTATTAAATAAAATTAAACATAATGTTTCAGTCCAAGAATTTTCCTAAGTAATGACATGGTAGTTGTTTTCAGCGTCTACACATTATACCTGTTTTATTACCCCTATGAATATAACATGTCAAACTTTTTTGAACCTTTTTGTATTGTTATGTGTTCTGGGTCTTGAGTTCGCCTTTGATCCACAGACTCAACTATGATTTGGGATTCTTGTCCTAAATAGTAAATGAAAAACCTAAGTTCTGGAGCAGAAAGGGGTAGGTCACATGACTAGCTAAAGGCAGCTTAGGAGTACAGCCAATTCTCATGACCCCCGTTCCCCGCTCTTTCTACTGTGACCTACTTTTGCTCATACCAACTTCAATATCCATCCAATTCCACTTAACCGGACATTGTAGAACCCCATGGAGCATGTGGGAAACTTTCTGCTAAAAGGTGATAGAACGTTAATGTTACAAGGAACATTATGAATGATTTAAGCCAAAAGTCAAATTTATAAATGAGGTAATTAAGATGCAAAGAGCTTAGGTGACTTCTTACTGTTACAGAATTGTAGATAGCTTCATCAAACTAGAAGGATCTCTTAAGCCCACCTCTCCAATCTCCACTATGTCCATCCGTTTGCTCCTGACTAATGGCCAGCCAGTGTCTCTTCAAACAAATCCATCAATGGGTAACTCATTATTTCTTAGGCTTTTCCATGTTTAGACAATGCTAAGCATTAGAAAGTTCTGCTTCTGGCGGCCTACGAATCCCTCCCCTTATGTTCTATCTATTGGCCTCATATCTGCACTCTGCCCTTTTCCACATAAAAGCCATCCGTATAATCGAAAACAATGTTCGTCCCCTCCGTTACTCCTTACCTTCCCTATGTTCTTGGCCCTGTTTTCAGCTCTTACACTTCGTAATTTTCCTAGACAAATATATTTCAGCTAAATATTTTGTGAGCACAAACCAAGTGACATCAAGAAGATATTATCCAGAGATATGATATGTAACTAGGAAAGGCTAATTTGCACTTGGGAATTATGAATAATCTACCTCATGGAGAGAGGGGTTTTAGCAAATCCAGAGATAGATTCATTGACCTTGGGCTACGAAGGTGTTACACGATATGCACTACAGCAGCAAGGCCCTGCCAACTCAAACACACTGAATCAGAATCTTTTCATTCAATGAACTTGTATTTCATGTTTGTTATACAATAGAGAATCTGGGAGAGTTATTTTCTCTACCTCCCAAAATGCTATCAAGGAAGAGGGGAAGTGCAGAATCAGATTTGCAAACGGTAAATAAATAGGAGAAATAAACCATAACAAAACAGATGCATTGGATAACCAAACAGTTTCTCCACATCAATTCAGCCCTCCACTGATTTTTTGCATTTATTTGCATATAATTTTTGCGTGTGTTGACAAATATTTGTCTTATTAGAGCTGCCGTTCTTGCATACCATGGGAAAGAACAAAGAAAAACACCATTCAATCCAGGACGCATTTATTGTGTCCCTATAATATACATAGTAGAGTAGCTTTGCTTGTTTCAAAGAAGACTTGAGCCACGTGCTGTACTCAATTAAAATTATGTAAGATATTAACATACTTATTACGGTCGCTGCTATATGTCTGGTTCCCAGGTTACGGTATTATAATTAGATTCACAGCCTTAGGATTTGCACTCAGCCTCTGTGGAATGGTAGCCCCCAACTCCCAATACTTAGGTCAGTGATGAACACTGATTTTTGCCTCCCCTGATTTCCATTTCCCAGAAAATTCTCATAACACTCCGAAGGACCCCTCTTCCTTTAGTTTTAATATATGCTTTATAGAAACATAATACAGGAGCTTAAGTTTTAAGAGAAAACTCAGTCGCTTTTCTCCCATCTGGGGAGGAGACAAAGAATAAGCTGACTTCGGGCTGAGCTAACTAGAGAATCCAGCAAACGTGAAAAAGTAGTTTAGGCTTGAATGAACAAACTGTGATTTTTGTTTCCTATCCTGTGATTATGGTCATTGTTAATGAAACCATGTTTTGGTTAGTGGTTGAAGGTTTAAGCTCTTTCAGTAATAGACTATTTGGTTTGGTATATGTGAGTTGCATAAGATTTGGCCGAAGAGTAGGAGCTGAACAAAAATTCATGTTGTTTCACCTAATTTGACTGATTGTGAAAAGATCTACGTCCAATAGATTTCAGTTGACGGTACACTGATAGCTAAGACAAATAATTATAATTATCATCCATTGTTGCTTTACTCATTTATCCAGTAGAACAAGTATTGGTTTCTTGGGTTTACTGTTTAGGTAGTGATTTGGATGATGAAGAAAACAAGAGAGAGAATATAACACATTCCTAAAGGTAAAAGAAACTCAAAGTTAATAACTTTCTACACAATGGTAAGTCTTGGAAGTCTAATTCCAACACCAAGAAAATAAATATTGCCTTATTTATCTGTGCTCCATTTTGTTCCAAAGGGAATTTAACCCATGACCATTGCCTGTCCTAACCTGCCAACCCAGGACCTACCATTTTGATTCCTAAATTTTAAAATACAAAATAAAATCTTGATCTGGGATAGTTTGTAGGGGAATAAAACTACAATACCATGTAAAACATTTAGTTTTAACCTGCTACTCTGATTTATTTCATTCATTTTCTTTTTACGGTATAGATATTTGGACCAGTGCAGCAAATCATGAAATTTAAATCTTTAGATGAAGTGATCAAGAGAGCAAACAATACCATTTATGGCTTATCAGCAGGGATCTTTACCAAAGATGTGGATAAAGCCATAACAGTCTCCTCCGCTCTGCAGGCTGGGACAGTGTGGTAAGTCAAATCTACATCATCTTGCCTTTTCACTGGTAAGTGCGTTAACATGTTACTTTGAACATTTTTGTTTCTTTATTTACTTATTTATTTTTGAGGTATTCACATTATATTAGTTTCAGGCATACGACACAATAATTTGATATTTGTATCCACTGCAAAGTGATCACCACAATAACCTAGTTATCATCAGTCACTATACAAAATTAAATTTTTTGTGTGTGGTGAGAACTTTTAAGATTTACTGTCTTGGCAACTTTATCAAATATACAGTACAAAGTTATGAACCAGAGTTGCCATGTTGTATATCATATCCCCATGAATTATTTATTTTATGCCTGGAAGTTTGTACATCTTAACCCCCCTTCACATATATCTTCCACGCCCCAAACCCCTGCCCTTCTGGCAACCACCAGTATCTATAAGTCTTCTTTTGTTTGGATTTTTTAAAATACCAAATGTAAGTGAAATCTTACATTTGTTTTTTTCTCAGATTTATTTTACTTAGTATAATACCTTCAAGGTCCATCCGTGTTGTCACCAATGGCACGATCCCCTTTTTTATGGCTAAGTAGTACTCCATTTTGTATATGTATACATCTTTATCCAGTCACCTGTTGACAGGGACTTAGGTTGTTTCTATATCTTAGCTATTGCAAATAATGTTGCAATGAACATAGGGGCACATACATCTTTTCAAACTAGTATTTTTATTTTCTTTAGATAAATACCTGGAAGTAGAGTTGCTGGATCATATGGTAGCTCTATTTTCAATCTTTTGAGGAATCTCTATGCTGTTTGCCATAGTGGCTCCACCAATTCACATCCCCACCAAAAACGCAAGAGAGTTCCCTTTTCTTCACATCCTCACCAATACTGTTATCTCTTATCGTTTTTGAAACTAGTCATTCTAACAGGTGTGAGGCAATATCTCCAGTGGTTTTGATTTGCATTTCCCTGATAATTAGTGACGCTGAGCCTCTTTTCATGTGTCTGTTGTCCATCTACATACCTTCTTTGGAAAAATGTCTATTTAGATCATCTCCCCATTTTTTTTACTGGACTGTTTGGTTTTTGATTGTTTGTTGTATGAGTTCTTTATGTGTTTTGGATGTCAATCTCTTATTAGATAGATGATTTCAAAATCTTTCTCCCATTCAGTGGCCTGTCTTTCATTTTGTTTCCTTTCATTTGGTTTCCTTTGCGACGCTTGAGTCTTTTATGTTGCTGTAGTCCCCACTTGTTTACTTTCACTTTTGTTGACTTTGCTTGTAGAGTCAGATTCAAAAATTTATTGCCAAGACTGAAGTAGCTTACTGCTTATGTTTTTTTCTAATATTTTATGGTTTCAAGTCTTAATTTAAGTCTTTAATTTATTTTGAGTTATTTTTTGTGTATGGTGCCCAACAGTGGCCTAGAGCCAGTATTTTGCATGTATTTCTCAACAACACTGATTGAAGAGACTGTCGTTTTCCCATTGTCCGTTCTTGCCTCATTTGCGATAAATCAATTCAGTATACATGCATGGGCTTATTTGGGGGTTTTCTATTCTGTTCCATTGATCTGTGTGTCTGTTTTTATGCCAATACCATACTGTTTTAATTATTATTGCTTTGTAGTATAGTTTGAAATTGAAGAGACTAATGTCTCCAGATTTGTTTTTCTTTTGCAAGATTGCTTTGGCTTTTAAGGATCTTTTGTGGTTCCACACAAATTTTAGAATTGTTTGCTCTGTATCTATGAAAAATGTCATGGACATGTTGACAGGAATTGTATTAAATCTGTAGATCGCTTATGGGAGTATGGACATTTTAACAATAGTAATTCTTACAATTCATGAGCACAAAATATCTTTCCATTTATTTATGTCTTCTATTTCTTTCATCAGGGTTTTATAGTTTTCAGTACACAGGTCTTTTACTTCCTTACTTAAATTTCTTCCTAGGTATTTTTCTTTATCATACAATTATAAACTGTATTTTTTCTTAATTTCTCTTTTTTGATACTTCATTTTTAATGTATAGAAATGCAACTGATTTTTGTAGAGTCTTTTCATGAAGTCTATAAGGTTTTCGATGTATGAAATCATGTCATCTGCAAGTAATGACAGTTTTACTTCTTCCTTTCCTATTTGGATAGCTTTTCTTTCCTTTTCTTCCTAATCACTCTGGTAAGGGCTTCCAATATTATGTTGAAGAAAAGTGATAAGAGTGGATATCCTTGTCTTGTTCTTGATCTTAAAGGAAAAACTTTCAGCTTTTTACCATTGAGTATGATGTTAGCTGTGGGTTTGTCATATATGGCTTTTATCACATTGAGCTATATTCCCTCTATCCTCACTTTTTGAGAGTTTTTATCATTAATGGATGTTGAATTTTGTCAAAATTTTTATGCATCTATTGAGCTTATCATATGATTTTTACCCTTCATTTTGTTAATGTGGTGTTTCATGATGATTGATTGGCAGATATTGAACCATCCTTGCATCCCTGGAATAAATCCCACTTGATCATGGTGTATGATTCTTTTAATGCTAATGCAAATGTTGAATTTGGTTTGCTAATATTTTGTTGGAGATTTTACATCTATGTTCATCAGGGATATTGGCCTATAATTTTCTATTCTTTTTTTTTTTTTTTTTTTTTTTTTTTTTTTTTTGGTGGTGTCCTTGTCTGGTTTTGGTGTCAGGGTAGTGGAGGCCTAATAAAATAGTTTGTCTTTAGGTTTTTGAAAGAGTTTGAGAATGATAGATATTAAATCTTTGAAAGTATTGTAGAATTCACCAGTAAAGTTGTCTGGTCCTGAAATACGTTTATTGGGAATTTTTTAAAAACTGATTTAATTTCCTCATTAATAATTGGTCTATTCAGATTTTCTATTCTTCATGATTCAATCCTGAAAAACTCTGATTTATATTTTTTGGAATTTATGTATTTCTTCTAAGTAGTCCAATTTATTAGTGTATAATTCATGGTATTTTCTTACGATCTTTTTTATTTCTGTGGTACTGGATGTAACTTTTCTTCTTTCATTTCTGATTTTATTTTTTAAATCTCTCTCTTTTGCTCTTGGTGAGTCTAGGTAAAATTTATCAATTGGTTTATCTTTTTAAAGAACATGCTCTTGGGGCACCTGCATGGCTCAGTCGGTTAAGCATCTGACTCTTAATTTTGGCTCAGGTCAAGATCTCACAGTCCTGATTTCAAGCCCAACTTGGGGCTCTGCACTAAGGGTGGAACCTGTTTGGGATTCCACACCCCATCCTCCCTTGTCCCCTTCCCCACTCTCACACACAGGCTCTGTCTCTCTCTCTCAAAATAAATAAATAAACATTTTTTAAAAAATAACATGCTCTTAATTTTATAGATCTTTTCTACCATTTTTCCAGTCTCTATTTCATTTATTTCCACTATGATCTTTATTATTTCCTTCCTTCTACCAACTTTAGGCTTCATTTTTCCTTTTTTTTTTTTTTTTTTTTTTTTTTGGTTTCTTTAAGTGTAAAGTTAGGTTATTTATGTATGCATCCATGGAAAAAGGTAAGTTCAGGATGCTCTTATACTACTGTTTTGAGTTGCCCCTAACTTGAATTTTTTCAGACTTTGATTTTTTTTCCTAGACTTACCTGTCCTATTAGACAAGCAGTTGCTGCCTTAAAAACCAAACCAAAAACAAACAAAACAATACAAAACAAAATAATAACAAAAATCAAATTTGTTTTAAATTTTTTTTTTTTAATTTTTAAAAACCTGCTATATTGGGAGAACTTCGGAAGGGCATTTTCTGTCTGGCCTCCTAAATAGCTCCCCTAAAATATTTCATTGTCTGGCTAATATAGTATAAGTGTTACTAATTTCTAGGTAGTTGGCACTATGCTATACACAAAGGAGATGAAAGTTCTGCTCATCAAGTTAATTAAATGCTACGACAATATTTATTCAATGTCCCTATGTCAGAAAACATTTCATTCTTATTTCAGTTTGTTTTTCTAAGATTATTAGGAATGTCTGAAGGTCTTAATTTGGGAGAACATAGTGAGTTTTGAGGAATGTGTCTATTCCTTTTTAACTGATTTATACCCACTTTGAGAGAGAAAGAGAGAGAGAGCCACACAAGTGGGAGAGGGGCAGAGAGAGAGAGAGAGAGAGAGAGAGAGAGAGAAACACAGAATCCAAAGCAGGCTCCAGGCTCTGAGCTGTCAGCACAGAGCCAGACGCAGGGCTCAAACCCATGGACCGTGAGATCATGACCTGAGCTGAAGTCGGATGCTTACCCAACTAAGCCACCCAGGCGCCCTGTGATTTATATTATATCTTTATTTATATCTCCGAATTTTATACTTTAAGCCTATGCCTCACAAACTGTTACACTTCTGTCCAGCCCCCAATCTCTGGACGGCTTTGTTGGTAATTCCCCCCTCCCCAAACCTCACTTTGTTCCCTCAGTCTTGTCAACATTCAAAGTTTATTTTCTTTCCTGATGATGTCACATCTACTCAGGTTAAACATCCACTGGACATTGAACGGTATTTATCTTTAAGAGATAGCCAAGCAGTCCTTGCCTCTCTCTGTAGCTCTGAAATCTTTTTTCCTAATCAAAGAGAGTCACCATTAATTAATACACTCTATGCTAGGCATTATTCTGCATTCCTTATGTTCATTATCTCATTTCACCTTACAATAACTGTGCAATTGTTAATCTGTGTAATTTGTGTAATTTGTCAATGAAAAAACTGAAGTTTAGTGAAGTTCAGTCATTGATCAAAGCTAACACAATAAATGGCAGCCGAGATGCAGACCTATTTCAAGACTCTAAAGTAGTGATTCTCAACCCAGCTGTACATTAGTCATCTGGGGAGCTTTAAAAATAATAAACTGATTCGGCATAGGGTGGTGCACATAAAATCCATCAGTTATATCAATCTCTGTGATTCAATATGGATTTTTATTTAAAGAGTATTTTTCAAAGCTCCCATGTGACTCTAGGACTGGGACTAGGACTGAGAAATTGCTCAAAAAGCCTGATTCTTTTTATAATGGGATGTTTTCTTTCAGAGGCTTAAAGTCAAGCAATAATCAGTCAGTATAGTGATTAAAGTGGGATTTTCCTACGATAAAATTATTTGTAGGATTCAGCATTCCTAATGCATGTATGTATATTATCTCCAGTCACTAAAACCTTACTCAGTACCAACCATTCTAAGAAGCATATTCGATGCATCATCTTACTTATACCTTGAAATAACCCAATTAAATATTGTCACTTCCCTTGTACAGAGAGAAAGCATATATTTAGAGAAGCCAGACACCTTTCCCAGTGCCAACTAGGTACTAAGGGGCAAAGCCAGGATTTGTGGGCTTGGAACCTCCCTTCTTTATAACAAGAAAGGACTGTGGAAGGAGAACCAATTGGCCAGGCTGATTGTTTTCTCCAACTGGATATTTCTTAGTTCTCCATTTACTTAAACTAAAATAGTTTCATTTCCAGTATAGGGTCAAAAGACTAAACTCATTTTCGGCACCTTTCAACAAAGACAAGTTTCAGGTTTTTGACTTCGGAATGCTATATGCCTGCTGGATCAAGAAGCTTAGGACATCATTCTGCCCAGTGGCATGGAAATCCCCAGTCAGGAATTCCTCTGCTATTAAAACAGAGGCATATTCTTACTGCTACTTATTCTAGAGCATAATTCAAGTTCTGGCATTGTCCCAGACATAGTTTCCACATGGTGTATTCAAGATAACTACTGAATCCCAGGGTTGCTGGGATTTTACCCATAATTTCAGAGTAGGGATCTTATTTTGCAGTTTAAAGGGCAATTAAACAAAACTGAGACAAGTTGTCTTTTGAAAGCATACATTTTTTTTAAGGAACTATGCTCCAGAAGGAGAGACTTGGATAAGAATCTGTAGTCCAGTGAGAATATGGAGCTCTGGGAATCGGGATTGTAAATGCTTTACTGAGGAAATTTGTGGATATTATTTCAGGATCAAATTAATAACCAAACTTCATGCGTAATACAATGTATTTAGAAGTCACATTGTTGTTTGCCTATTATAATAACATCAAAGGAGAGGAAATACTTTAAAAATATTGTTTCTCCTTTAAATAATATATTTTTCCTCTTATATATAATGAGAATCATATAGGTAATTAAATTTTGCTGTTGACTTTGGCCACCAGGAAATTTACATGAACAAATTGTTCATGTCCTGCAAGACTACATTCTAACCTTTCCTCCTTGTCTTGACTTTCTACTGTAACTTTTTTTTAATTCTAATTATTCATGTTTCTGTAACTATATTTGTTCATACAAACATCTTTAAACATTTTATGAAATACGGCAAGGAAAAGACAAATTAATAGTGAAATCCAACTCCTGCCAAGGCCTGTTGTATGAAAGCAATTAATGAAAAAAGGAAACTGAGGAATGTGATACATGTTACAATTGCAAAAGATAACTGATTCTAGCCTGTTACGTACACAGTCCTCAAGAGAATTATAAAGGTTATGAATATAGGCAGTAAAGAATATCCACCCACCAAACTCCATTCTCTGGCAAACCATATCCTTTCTCCTATGCTACATTGGCTATCCTATTATCATTCAAAATGGCTCTCTACATACAGAGCTGTACCATTCTATTTCTTTCTAGGCAGTACTTATCCATATACTTATACTTCTGCATTCTAATTTATAGTACTGCTTTTTTGTTAAATAACAATGAGTATGTAACATTGAAATTAACAAGGTTGTTAAAGAGCTTTCTGAATTTCTAAAATTCCAAATTTAGGAGTTATTTCATAGGTTATGTATGATCTACATATACTTCTTTTTTTCCTCAGGGTGAATTGCTATAGCGTGGTATCTGCCCAGTGCCCCTTTGGTGGTTTCAAGATGTCTGGAAATGGAAGAGAACTGTAAGAACCACTTTCTATTAAGACAAATGTTTACCTTGATAAAAATGGTTGTCACTCAATGGAATTAATCCATAGTTGCTATTTGAATTAAAACCTACCTCTGTTCTTCCCTGGAAATTCCTACTGTCAAATAGCTTTTAAAAGCTGGATTTAGCCCATGAGTGCAAAAAAGTGATGGCATAGGGGAAATATAACATATTAAGCTCCTACTATTCATAAGGGACCATGCTAAGCACTTTACCTTAGTTATTGAAATAATGCCAACTTTTACGATTTCTTCCTGTATATAAGAATGTAATCCATCTGGGAAACATTTCCACAAAGGAGGCAGAAAGTACAAATTGGTGACTGTAAGAAGTGTGATTATAAGAACACTCCAGTCATTTAAATATGCCTCTTAACCAAGTAAATCATGTGACTTTATCTCAAAAAGCTTTTCAGCGTAAGAAGAGTGATTCTCACGTGTTGAAATATTTTTGATGTGGAATCTAAAATTTTAAATTACCTCAACTAATTATCTTTTTGTACTAAAATATAAGCTGAAAGGGAAATTTAACTAAGGAAAACATGTTTTATAGTCATGACTATGCTCAGAATATATATACAAAATCATTTACAAGCCTTTAGTTGCTTTAGAAACCTGGGTGTATAGACTTTTTATAATGTGCATATACACGTGTATACACAGAAAGGGGTGACAAAATGTTTGATTGATTTTATTCAAACAATTCTAACCATTTTATTTCTTAAACACTTCTTGTATTTATCAACACATTTTAAAAATCATGCGGCAAAAAGACACATCATATACAAACCCTATGGAATCAAACATAGTTAAAGCTGTTCATTCTGTAAATAGCAAGAGCAAATGAGTCTCAGTTTCTAAAGGTCATGAATGCATTAGGTAGCCATCTACTTTGTCATTTGAATAAATCAGCGAGGGGCGCCTGGGGGGGGCGCAGTCGGTTAAGCGTCCGACTTCAGCCAGGTCACGATCTCGCGGTCCATGAGTTCGAGCCCTGCGTCAGTCTCTGGGCTGATGGCTCAGAGCCTGGAGCCTGTTTCCGATTCTGTGTCTCCCTCTCTCTCTGCCCCTCCCCCGTTCATGCTCTGTCTCTCTCTATCCCAAAAATAAATAAACGTTGAAAAAAAATTAAAAAGAAAAATGAATAAATCAGCGAAATTGAAATGACGCAATCTCCTTGGAGAACCAATAAAAAAGAAGGATGATAAAATGATCCATCCTTCTCCTCAATACACATTTGTTAAGTACTTGCCCAGGAGCCCCAGAAACATGATACCACATCCCATCCTCCACATAATTGTGGTGGCAGGAGGAATATGTCAAAAGAAAAGTAGTGCAAAATAACCTATACACAACATGAAGTAAATAGTCATAAACTGTGAGTTCATAAGTCATGAGGTAGAAAAGTAGATAAAATGCAGAGCACACAGCACTGAAGGACAGAAAACCTGGGCACCACCAGAATATAACATCCGTGGCATGACTCTTATCTTCCACAATTTTCATCCATCAGGTAAAATCAGCAATTGTGGGTGGGGATAGGAGTGGGAGAATGATGTAGAAGGTCTACGAGCTCCTTTCCATACTTAAGATTCTATAGTATTAACCCCTGTGATAACTCAGTGGATAAGAACTTACTGACCCTACAGAAAATACAGGACTCGATCTAGGGCAGGAAACAAATGTAGGATGTCAGTAAGCAGAGAAGAGAGCATTCTTGAACACAACGTTACATGTGACACGTGGAGGGGTTTGTGAATTTGGATGGCTGGCGAGGATTTGTGGAGTTGGGGAGTATGATACCAGAGTTAAATAGAATACAGATTAAGAAGTCTTGGCTTACATTTCATTAGTAGAGCAGTGAAAAGCCATGGCTATCTGTAGAATGGTGTTGGGGAGGTGGAATGACAAAGGATCAACATATAAAGGGAGCATGGCCCGGTAGAGGAAGCTTAATTGGACACTAAGCGACCTGCACTTGTATCCCAACTCCACCTTTTGCTGGCCATGCAGCCTGTTTCACGTTGTCCAACATTTCCTCTTATTCAAAACGGCGATGTTAGCAAGCTTCTTGAGATAGTCGTTTGAGAGTGAAATGACACACCCTGTGCCTGTTCGCCAGCATTCTGTCACAAGGTGAGGACTCGGCAAATGGTTCCTTCCTTCCCTGGTTTCTTTTCTTTACAGTATTCATTATTAGAGAGTCCCTTGGCAGAACTACTTTGTACAAAAAGCTGTAACAAAGGTTAGATTATTTTGAAGGGCGGAGTTCATGGCTGGCCCAGCTACCTAAGACATTTCCCTAGGAATATTGAAGATAAAACGATCAAAGGGGACAAAATGACTAAGAAGGACCAAATAGGTCAATTTTGTTGATTATAGTTTGGTCCAACTTTATGGTTGAGGCATATGGAAATCAAATAAGGGAGGGCATGGAATGTAAGAATTAAACTTCAGTAATTTCTTAAAATTCTGGGAAATGAATACGGATAATTCCTTTTCACATCTGTATAAATATACAGAAAAGAGTCAGTCTGTAATTTTTTCCTTCAAAAATTCCAGGTGAGGATGTTGTTAATTTCTACTTGAAACCAAATTTGGTGAACTTATCAAACAAGTCATTTGCTACAAGATGTTGAAAGAGGATTACTGAAGCAATAACCTCACACGACATCTAAGGGCTCAGTTACAATTTATCCTCAAAGATAGGAAGGTATAATTGATCAGTTGGGAACAAATTCCTTAGAGAGCCAGAAATAGCGGTACACAGACCTCAGTGTGGTGGTAATACAAAGCGCCCAAACCAGGGTTTGGGTCTCAGATCCTGGTGCTGGCCCTGGAATGAGTCAAATGGTAGAAATTCCTTCCTGTGTGTAGTTGTACTAATTTTCACTTCAGTTCACATAAGTCACTTGAGACTTTACTAGTATATCATTGCAACCTCCATTGGTTCTCAGCACCTCACAAGCTCTTTCTTTCCTCCTGTCCCTTGGAAGAAAGGGGAGCATGCAATTGCTGTGAACTACTGAACTTACAAACCAAGCTCGCGGGAATATTTTTTGTTTGATTATGTTCACCAAGTCAGTCTAACAAACATTACCTCTGTGCTTACTTAAGTAGTGTCAGGCTCAGTTCTGGGTACAGAGTGGAAAAAAAAAAAAAAAAAAAAAAAAAAAAAAAAAAAAAAAAAAAACCAGATGTAGCTTATTTACTAGTACCTTATTACTACAGTGTGGACCTTGGGTGAGAAGCAAGGTTATCATGTGTAAGTTTGTTGGAAATACTACTACTGAAACAGAATCAGCATTTTAATAAGGTCCCAGGTGATTGGTACATTGAGGAATTTAGCACAAAACTAGTAGCTCATAGACTGGCAAGATAATGAGAAATGCAAACAGATATAAAAACATAATTTTTAGATATTAAGACAGGAATGTCTATGCATTGGAATACTCCGGAGTGGGACTTAGTTCAACCTGCGTATGACAATAATGACACTTAGTACTCTCCTGGGAGTTTCAAGTGTCCCTGTAACAAAATACAATGGAAAGCCTATTGGCAGAAATCATGGGTTAATTTATCTAACTTTGTGAGATAAAATACTTACTAAAATATTATCCCTTAATGGGTTTCAGACAACTGAGGCTAAGCCCTTTAATTACTTTGAAGAACATGTTCATTGAAGCTTTTAGAAGGTATTTTCAGAAGCTTAATTGCCCAGGAAAATAATCAGTGTAAGAAGATTAGGTTACCCAAGAGAAAAAGATGTCTTCTACATACCTGTCTACCTCACCAGAAGGGAGGGGTAGAAAAGGATCAAGATCATTTCCTTCTGCAAGCCTGCATGGGCCTGAGTGTTATAATTTTAAGAGTGTTCCTATGTACATGCGATGTAGTCCTATCATCAAAATAATCCAGAGAATAAGGAAGCTCAATGCTTTTCATTATTTCTTCAACAGAGGGTAAATCACAGTTTCCAAAATGGGTAGGAACTCTCAATGAACCCAGTAATAGGATACCAGGGTCCTAATTGATTAACTCAGGTTAATTCTTGGTCATTTGGTTTGGATTTAAGAGTTATAGAAGCAAATGGCAGTGGTTGTCTGAATAGAAAAACCCCAAACCCACAAGCAGCCCAAAGGTCTGAAATTGGGCCAATGAACCCTGTCTTCTCTCCCTTCAAAACAAAACAGAAAGAAAGAAGAAAGAAAGAAAGAAAGAAAGAAAGAAAGAAAGAAAGAAAGAAAGGAGGAAGGGAGGGAGAGAGGGAGGAAGGGAGGGAGGAAGGAAGGAAGGAAGGAAGGAAGGAAGGAAGGGAGGAAGAAAAACTGCAGCAATAAAAGTCAGGATTTGTTTTGTTTTCCCAAAAGTCAAGAGATACTGTTAATACTACTGCTAGAAAATATTTTGTGTCAAACCATATCAGGGCACTTTAGAATGAAAATAGAAGTCTGGCCATTTTTTGGCCCCTCATCACTTCCAGGCCAATCACACACAGTAAAAACACTAAGCTAAGCTGTACTTGAATTTACAGTTTTACTCCACTACTCAAGTGATTGTATATTACTACTTCTCCTCTTGTACTAATATGTCTTGTTTATTTGAACCTAAACTAGAAATGATACAATTCTTCTTGGACTGAACCGTCTTTTTTCGTGTGGTGACTATTTGTTTATAGTCAAATAGAACAATGTCAAAACTGGACAATTTCTGTGCAAATCAACAGAATGTACATGGTCATTTAAAATACAAAAAAAAAAAAAGAATTGAAAATTTGCCCCACAAGGGGATTTATGTGAGACCAGATATCTTATGGGTGGCTGGCTGGCTACTATTTGAAATGCTTCTGTACACAGAAAATATTTTCCATTGTCCCTAACCAGATAGGCAAGAACAAATTTGTACCAAATCATGGACTAGTACAATTGTACTGCTGTGCTAAATTCTGTGGGTTTTCCCCCTGTCTAGGGGAGAATATGGTCTCCACGAATACACAGAGGTCAAGACGGTCACAATGAAAATTTCTCAGAAGAACTCATAAAGAAACTACAAGAGTGGAGCAAAGAATCCTCAGTGGATAAGCATCTCCTCCAGTCGCTAATATATCGTAGTGGGTTTTAAATATAAAACTGTTCTTTTCTTGATTTTGTTTTAAAACATAAGCTAATCATATTAGCATTAAGATTATACATAGAACGCTTGACATGTAGCTTATTCTGAAAGAATCCTTTTTCTTCTGATATGTGACCCCCAAGTCCTATTGGTAATAAAAAGGATGGATTGGAGGCAAGATCTCTCTAAGCTCTGTGATAGTTACGTGCTTCTCTTTGTAGCTACTTGTCCGGAATAATCATGTTATAGAAGAGGACCAGTGGCCATGTAGCTTCTTTCTCTAAGGACCCCTTAAAGTCCTCAACACACCCTTGAACTGCAGAGTAGATGTGTTCTGTTCCCAATAGTTTTGACGTCACTGGAGTTTGTTGAAATGTTTCCTAGAATGTCATGTCTGCTTGTCAAATGAAGTCCTGCTTGAAATACTTAGCTGTAATCTAGACGTAAAGCTTAATAAAAACAACCTTGCATGATTTTTGTCAAGTTTGGATTTTTTAAGTAGAAGTTTTGGTTATGGGGATTTACTACTCTCCCTGTCATTCAAAAGCAATGTTAAATTGGGCACAAATATGTATTTAAGAAGAAAAGTCAAAACCACTCATTCTCAAATAGGTAAAGAAAGAGATTTTCTTTTCCAGAGGAATTCTTGAAATCAATAGTAAACATTTAAAGTAAGTGGCGTCTGTCTTTCAGCAAGTATTTATTCAGTTTGTAGATAGTTCTGTGCACTACATTAGGTATTATTGAAAAAAAAAAAAACAGGTGAATAGTGGATGTTCCATTACCTCAAAATGCTTTGATTTAATGGGGAACAAAAACGCCATACACCAAAAAAAATTTTTTAGTGATGGGGCATAGCAAGGGAATGAGAATTGAAGAAAACTGAAGAGCGTGATAATAATGTACCAATGGGGTAGAGATGACCTTTAACTGAGGGAATTGGGAAGAACCTCATGGAAGAAATTTAACAGGATATGAACCTGAACAATGAGCAGATTTGCGGTGAATAAAGAGGAAAGAGGCTCCATATCATACTTTCTCTCAGGGCATATTCCATTGGAAAAAATGGAAAAATTCTATATCATATTTTCCTCTCCTGGAGTTTCTAATTGCACGTTGCTGTTTTCTAGGTTCTGAGAAGTTCTAGCACCTGCTCAGTTTTGTTTGATACGTCTTTTCTTCTAAGTTTATTTAACCGTAGACCTTCCCTTTCTCCGTCAGTTAATACTGATTAACATTAAGGAATCCACATTGCTGGACACTGTTCTACACAACAAATTAGCACTGAGTGCTCTGGGGAGAGCTAGAGATCAAGGCGGGGCAGCTGGAAGAATGAATGTCCTCAGTGTAAATTAGCATATTTATGCCCTCCTACAAAGAACTTCTGCCTGGGTTCCCATGTAGAAAGTAAAAACAAGTGAGTATTTTGTGTGCACATATATTCTAAAAGGCTCTTCGTTCAGCAACCTAAAATGTTCAGATTAACATTTTTTTCAGATTCAGATTTTATAAAAATAATTATTTATCGTCTTACATCAGCAGATACCTCAGTAACACTGTTGTTAGGACATGTAACAGCTGCCACAATGTATGAACAAACGCAATTCTTTGGCTTCTCAGACCCGAAATAATCCGAACTCCAACTGCAAGAATTTCTTGGGATTCTGTGAGCCTATAAGATTTGCAATCTGGACCACCTCGTAAGTATTTGGGACCTCATTACTTTGAAATCCGGAGAAGTCAAAGGCATAGGGAGAACTAAAAGATCTTTGGGCGTTGAGAAGAAAAAATATCTAAATACAGAGGAGAATCGCATTTCCCCAAAACCAGACAATGTCTACATTTTTAAAAGATGTGTTTAAAACTATGCACAAATAAATTAATAGGCAGACAAGTTAATATTGTAATGGCAACCCACCAGAACATTTTAAAATGTAGAACAAAGAGGGCCGATCCCAGAGCAAGATAAAAGCCAGAAGCAAGTTTAAATATTTGAAAATTAAATCTTCATTGTATAAATAAGACATTACAGGATTAAACAGAAAATATCTGTTTTATATTGGCTTGCCCTGAGCCTCTAGACACTATTTGTATTTCTTTTCTTCCGATTTATAAAGCTATGCTGGCAATAATTCTTAAAACCTTGAAAAGTTAGAGGGTATTTTATTAGCCTATGCGCTACAGAAAATATAAGGAATTTTATCATGAAGAATTCAGTTCTGCGATCATTAATGTGCTATCATTGTCCCCAGTATCCACGTGGTAGAAAGCGTTTTCTGTTCCAGGAATGCCAAATGATGTCACAGACGTTGGAACCACTGTTCCGGTAGAGACAGGGTCAGGGATACGATACAAATGTGCGAATGTCCGCCCACCTCCTTTCCTCCCCGCACCCCGCCCCTGCCCATTTTCTATGATCCACGCTTCTGGATTCCAGTATAATAGCCAAGGGGAAATGGGGGAAAGTATTTTTTCTTAATTTTTTTGTGGCCAATTGAAAATAGAACCGACTCAAAGGAGGGAATTTTAGCCTCACATACTCGGAGGCAGTGATGAATTAGAAGACCCCCTTCCCTGGGTAATGCATGATTTTTTTGAGTCACATTTCACTTGGACCTTTAGAAGTGTACACATACCATCTACTGAAAGCTTTTTTTTCCTGTGTATTTTCTTTTCTTCTTTCTTTCTTTCTTGCTCTCTTTCTTGCTTGCTTTCTTTCTAGTATATCAAATAACCAGGTTATATTTTGACATGAAGCGGAAGTTCCCAACTGGAATTTCACTCGTTGATTTATCTTGGGATTTTTAAAAAAAAAATTTATTTTATATATTCTCTGGAGATGCATTTGAGCCTTATCATTTTGATGGTAAAAGAATATACTGGAACGAATTGGAGATGGTGGCTGTTCTCCCTCGATATCAAAATGCAGTGACTGCCGGAAGGGCAGGGAAGCTTATTCTTACAGCACGCGGGGACTGTGATGTTCTGGAAGATGCTATCCTGAGTCAAGACACAAATGAAAGAGAAACAGCTCAATTATCACTCTGACATTCTGTGGAAGGGTAAAGACAGCCACAAACTTCTTAGTTGGGCTTAAGATTGCAACACAGAATGGGGTGCCTGGATGGCTCAGTTGGTTAAGAGTCTGAATCTTGATCTCGGCTCAGGTCATGATCTCACAGTTCCCGAGTTCGAGCTCTGCACTGATAGTGCGGAGCCTTCTTGGGATTGTCCTCCTCCTTCTCCTTCTCTCTCTCTCTCTCTCTCTCTCTCTCTCTCTGCCCCTCCCCCACTTACTCACTCTGGCAAAATAAATACAGTTAAAAAAAAAAAAAAAGATTGCCCTACATTATGTCTCTAAATGGGCCCTTGGATTCTGAGCAGTGGGTTTATCCCAGGAAAAAATAGTCACATCTGTCAACACTTATTTTGGCATTATCCTAATTCCAAAATCCCTAGAAGGTTAACTTTCTTTCCAAATGAAATATCTACGGCAAAGGTATAGCAATGCTTTTCACATGTTTATTTTAGTGCCATGTGCTCCCTAGCCTTTTGTTTTATTTAGAAAAATGGAAATCTCTGGGGGGCACCTGGGCAGTGCAGTTGGTTAAGAGTTGGAGTCTTGATCTCGACTCAGGTCCTGATCTCACCGTTCATGAGTCGGAGCCCCCCATCGGGCTCTGCACTGATGGCACAGGGCCCACCTGGGTTTCTGTCTCCCCTTCTCTCTGCCCCTCTGCCGCTTGTGCTCTCTCCCTTTCAAAATAAATGAATAAAATGTTTTAAAAAAGATAGAAAATGGACATCTCTGAGTTTTATAGAAATGTTCACAGGAGGCTGACATAGTGTTTTCCAGGAGTGGATTTCACCGGATTTTAAAAGTTTAGTTTGTCTGGGGCGCCTGGGTGGCGCAGTCGGTTAAGCGTCCGACTTCAGCCAGGTCACGATCTCGCGGTCCGTGAGTTCGAGCCCCGCGTCGGGCTCTGGGCTGATGGCTCGGAGCCTGGAGCCTGTTTCCGATTCTGTGTCTCCCTCTCTCTCTGCCCCTCCCCCGTTCATGCTTTGTCTCTCTCTGTTCCAAAAATAAATAAAAAACGTTGAAAAAAAAAATTTAAAAAAAAAAAAAAAAGTTTAGTTTGTTTGTTTTTTGTCAAGTCACTTATTTAAAGATTCATCAAGCCTAGGGGTGCCTGGGTGGCTCAGTCAGTTAAGCTCCCGACTCTTGGTTTCAACTCAGGTCATGATCTCATGGCTCATGGGTTCAAGTCCCATATCGGGTTTCATGCTGGCAGTGCGGAGCCTGCTTGGAATTCTTTCTCCCTCTCCTTCTCTCTGCCCCTCCCCTACTTGCTCATCTCTCAAAATAAATAAATAAGACTTTAAAAAATAATAAATATTCATCATGCCTAGAAAAATATTACCAAATATAAGAACACAAAACAGTTTCCTTCAACTTATTATTTTCAAATAACCTCACTTTTGGAAGTGTTGCTATAGCAGTTCAAAGAACTCTCATATATCTTTTATTCGCTGATTTCTAATATTTTCCCTCATTCACTTTATCATTCCAATTCTCTGGATAGATTCACTCTTTTCTTGAGGGAAGCTCTGGAGAATAACTCTTGGATATCAGGTCCTTTTGCCCCCAAATGCTTCAATATCTTTTTCTAGGAACAAGCTCATTCACAAGAGCCACGGAGTAATGACCTAATTCAGGACATTTAACATTGACAAAATATTAGTATCCAATATACAATCCACATACTATTTTCTCAAGTTGCCCCTATTGTCCTTGATGGCATTTTTTTCTGCCTGTGGTCCAAAACTTGATCCAGGATCACGAATTGCATTTGGTTTTCATGCTTTTCTTTCATCTTACTCTTCCTTACTGATGGTGGTGTAACATGTAAACACATCTAATATTCTGCC